CATTGCTTGCTACCGAGCTCTTGTTTAATATCATGTTCACACATAAGATTTGTGTGTGGAGGGTTTGACAGCTAAGCGAAGAAAGTGTGTTCCTTGTTAGCGTGTCGTCCCTCAGCCTTAAAGCAGTTAGCAGATGTAGCTAACCCATGGTGAACCACAGCTGAATGGTCACCAGAAGTGGGTTCTTTAGGCATGGGAGACGTGTGGGAGACCCCTACAGAGTGCTCAAAAGAACCATCTGATGAAAACACTGTTTCAAAATCCTGTACTTATGATTTGAACATGAAGATAACCACTCACACCTCCCCAAAGATTCATGTTGCTGGGCAGGGAGTGCGAGACAGCACAACCATACAGGCTGTAGCACATTCCTCAGAGAAAAATCTTGTTGGGGAGCAGAGCACGCGCATGAGCGATGGGGTGTGCAGCCGTGACCCGAAAGCTCAAAAATGGCCGCGAAGTGAAATGAGCATTCCCTCTGCGCATCTCAACCATGGGGTGGGGGCGAGGTAGGCAGAGCCGCAGCTAGCGGGTAACTGGGCTGTGGCAGGCAGAGACCCAAGCAAACCCATAATCATGTAGGCTCACACCACATCCCGTCGGGAAAAAAACTCCATCAGGAGCAGAGTCCGAAGGACCAAAACGGTGGCGCTGTGAGGAGAGATGGTTGGGCTTGGTGAGGGAAAACATGTGTAAGAGGACAGCAGAAGGATCGTACGAACCATCTGTAGCTGTGGACCGTAACAGTAATTTGTGGTCAGGGAACGTTTTTTTTAAATAACATTCATGAGCAGTCATAGTCACACACATTTCCTGCATCAAGTCACCAAGCTTGAGCTGGAAGAATGGAGACAGCAGTCGAGTGCTGGTTCTGAGCAGAACTTGGGCCAGCTAGACACCTGAATGCTGGATAGCCCTGCCGGTTACTGTGGTCTCAAAAGCGCTGCAATACTGCAGTTCACACAGCACGTCCGAGCTGACTGAACCGGTGTCTGCTAGCCGGGGTCCGGGAAGCATAGACAAAGCAGCAGAGCACAGATTTGAGTCACATGCTTCAGCAGTCCTGCTGTCAGCGGAGACAGCTGCAGAACATGGGCACAGCAAAGAGCTGCGTCACCATCCGTGTTTGGAGGTGGAAGTAGCACACCAAACAACCAGCTTCAGAAAAAGGCTAAGTTAAGTAAGGCTCCTAATGTTGTTCCAGTAAGCCAGAGCTGCTGGGAGCCGAGTAATAACTGGACAGGAGCAGCGAAACTGGACAGCGCCGTGTTGGCCAATAAGACATTCGACTTATGCAGCATGGGCGCGGGAACAGAAAGCCTAGCAACTAGCTAACAAAGTAGCGCTCTTATGGCCGGAATGGCGTAGAAGAGCGTGAGAGTCCAGGCCTTGGTCCTGCCAGGGAGCGTGGAGGCCTGCTTCCACAATTAAGTAAATAAACAGTACCTGTCCGGTGGAGAAGATGAACGACTCCGCTGGACATGACACTTTTCAGTAGGTTGTTCTTGTCGTGTAAATCCTGGGGAGCACAAACTGACCGAATTGTCGGACATGTGCTTGAAGAACAGGATAGTTTAAGCTCATTCAAATGATTTAGTTGTTTGAAGATGACAAAGGAGACGAGCTATGCTCGCTGGGCCCTTTTATGGGGCCAGGACCCGCCTAGGAGGCGGGTACATAAAAGCTCTTCAATGATTGGTTAAGGGGGATGGGATTAATCCAATAGGCGATGGCTTAAAGAGCAGAGCTATACGAAATAGAACGGCTCGTGCTGTCGGTCACTGCCTCCGCTCTGTTCGGGTCTATTTATTTCCTCTTTCTCTCCTCTTCCTCAGGATCCACTGATTTCCCTCTTTCCTATTCACTCTCTCATTCTTTACATTTTTTACTCACAATTGTCTATTTTTTTTGCTCATTTTAAATATTTTAATCATTTTCTAAATTCTTTTCTTGTATTTTTAAATTTTTTGTTTTTGTGAAGCGCCTCGTGATTGTTATCTTAAGAGGGGCTATAGAAAAGAGCTTCTCTCTCTCTCTCTCTCTCTCTCTCTCTCTCTCTCTCTCTCTCTCTCTCTCTCTCTCTCTCTCTCTCTCTCTCTCTCTCTCTCTCTCTCTCTCTCTCTCTCTCTCTCTCTCTCTCTCTCTCTCTCTCTCTCTCTCTCTCTCTCTCTCTCTCTCTCTCTCTCTCTCTCTCTCTCTCCTCTCTCTCTCTCTCTCTCTCTCTCTCTCTCTCTCTCTCTCTCTCTCTCTCTCTCTCTCTCTCTCTCTCTCTCTCCCTCCCTCCCTCCCCTCCCTCCCTCCCTCCCTCCCTCCCTCCCTCCCCTCCCTCCCTCCCCTCCCCTCCCTCCCTCCCTCCCTCCCTCTCTCCCTCCCTCTCTCTGATCGAGCGAGCGGAGCGCGCCGCACGACAACCCGCTCAATTAACTTAATTCACGGCCCAAATCCAACAGAACCGGTCGGGCTGATTCGGTTCCGGTTCAGTCTCAGGTTACAACTCTAGGCTCAGCCCTGCAGTACCACATTAAGGCGGAACCACTTGGTAAATGTGGAGGACGCTCACTCTGACAGATTTGGATGCAGCGCTGGTACTGCCGTTAAAAAAACAAAACTACATTCCACTATAATCGATTATGGCATACTCTTCTACGATGCAGAATCGTTTATGTCCGCATCCCGATGCATCGATTATTTGATTATTTTCCTCAGCTCTATCTGACATGTGGGGTGCCTCAGGGCTCCATTTTGGGTCCAGCACTTTTTTCTTTGTATATGCTCCCCTTAGGCTCTATTTTTGAGAAGTACAAAATTACTTTTCACTGTTTCGCTGATGATCTTCAGATCTATTTGCCACTTAGTGATGCCAGGTCAATTGGCTCATTACTGGAATGCTTAAAAAGCGTCAAACAATGGATGTCCATGAATTTTCTTAAGCTCAACAATCAAAAAACTGAAATTTTACTATTTGGCAGTTCTAATCTTTTAAACAACACTGTTAGTCCTCTTGGTCCTTGTTCTGGTTTTCTAAAACCATGTTAAAAACCTTGGTGTGTTTTTAGACGGTTCTTTTAATCTTCACAGACAGGTGAGTGCAGTGGTCCAATCAGGTTTTTATCATTTAAGGCAAAGGTGAAAGCCATACCTTCCTGCTAATTTCCTTGAAACATGTCCTCCATCTGTTTGTGTCCGGCTGATTGGACTACTGCAACTCCCTGTATTCTGGCCTGGACCAGTCCTCCCCACACCGACTTCAGCTGGTCCAAAATGCAGCGGCCTGCTTGCGGACTGGAACCAGCAAGCGGGTTCACATAACCCCGGTTCTGACCCCTCTCCATTGGCTTCCTGTCTCTTACAGGATCCATTTTAAAATTTTACTTTTTGTTTTTTAATCCCTTCATGGCCTGGCCCCATTTTATATCTCTGAGCTGCTGTCCGCTTACGTCCCTGCCAGAACTATGAAGTCCAGCTCCCAAGCTCTTTTAACAGTGCCAAAAACCCGCCACAGGACTCGTAGCGACAGAAACTTTCTCTGTGGTTGGTCCCAAACTGTGGAACAAGCTACCTCTCAACATCAGGACCACACAGAATCTAGAACATTTTAAATCCCTTCTTAAGACACATTTTTTTGATTTGGCTTTTAATGCAGGCTGACTTGAGCATCTTAATAGTTTTTAACAGTTTTTATTACAGATTGTGACTTGTGTGCTCATATTATTTTAGGTTTTTATTGTTGATCTGTTGTATCTTGTTTTGTTTTATCTTGTAGAGCGCTTTGGTGTAGCTTTGCTGCTGTAAATGCGCTCTATAAATAAAATTGTCCTTGACCTTGATCTGTAAACAACAGGAAACCATCTAAATTTGCAGAATGTGTGAAAAGTAATGGAAATGTTGGACTGTCATCTGATCACACTGGGCCCAATCCTAGAACCACTGGATGAACACCTAAGAGATCTGTAGATTAGGGCTGCACGATATTAGGAAAACCTGCGATATTCGATAACAGTGCTTAATATTGCGCTATCGATATTAAAGTCAAAGTCGTCTTTATTGTCATTTCTACCACATGTGCAGGACATACAGAGAAACGAAATTGAGTTTCAGTTAGGGCTGCAACTAACGATTATTTTCATAATCGATTAATTTGTCGATTATTTTTTCAATTAATCGATTAATCGGTGTGTTATTGTTTAGCTATTTAACCTATACAAGTGATGAATACATTTCAGTTAAGAAAAAGAAAAACATAGGAGAATTGTGCAGTTGACTGCAATCTATTTTATTGCACATGAACACAGTCAGCGGTGTAAAATGAGCTACACAGTCCAGAATAATTTTTTGGCATCAAAATATAAGAGGTAAATTCCATGAAAAATAATGTAGAATCTATAATAGAGTTTGTAAGTGGTATGCATTGCTGGGGGGTGAGTGCCTTGTTCCCCATGTAGTTGTCCATCATTGCTTGTTTTTTTCTGCATAAGAAACACAAATTGACTGACATAAGTACACATATAAAATAAAGCAGCACACACACTACAACACTAAATCAATATTATATTATTTGAATTAATTACCAATATACAGTGATCATTTATTTTGATAAAAATGCGTTGTGATGCGTTTTACAGATAGTAAAACAGCCTTTTAATAGTAAAAAATTACGTCTTCTGAATTTCTCCTGTATTCAAAAATTGAAAGCGTACAACTATGCCACGTTATATTCACCTGGACACAGCTCGTCTGTATATTTTTCTCCGCGGAGTTGTCCTTTTTGAATGAGGAACATAACATTCTTATAAACAGACGTGCTAAATTTGGCAAGCGCATGATTCACAACACGGAGATTCACAATTGCATCTAGTCAATCAGAAGTAGAACACCGTAGACTGACGCGGCAAAAAAAAACATGTTTAACATTCACTATAACGAACTCAGCTAAAACATTAAGTCCCAAATTTGATCTGCGTGTAGTGATGGACCACTATATGTAGCTTATTTTCTGTTACTTACCGGGCTGGCGCTTCCTCTGCTGCATTTGCCCCCACGTTTTCGTCTCAAATGTTCACTTAGGGACGTCGTGCTTCCGTGCCATGCTAGATGGTTTTTGCATATTTTGCAGGTCACCCGTCTTTTCATGACATCTAGGGTGAAGTGCTCCCATACTCGTGAGGTTTTTGTCCGGGGTTTCTCTTCAGTTTTGTCGCTTCTATTTTTCTTCCGTATTTCTTCTTGTTCCGCCATCTCTCACAGCAAGATGAGCGTCAGTAACGTGATACGTCATGAAAACCGAGGGCACTTATTGGCTTGTTTCTTCTTCTACGGCTCCACTGGTAGATCAGTGGCTCATTACTGCCACACACTGGTGGCAAATTTAACAGATTGTAACCATGTCAGATTGTGGTAAAAATAGACTTTATGCGGTAAAATGTGATTATTAAACAACTAATCGATGACTAAAAAAGTTGTTAACTATTTTAATAATCGATTGTAATCGATTAAATCGATTAGTTGTTTCAGCTGTAGTTTCAGTGCACACAATTCAGAGATCAGACATACATGGGTAAGACAAGTGACAAGAATTGGTGACTGCGGTCATTCGCAACATGAGTTGCGCTACCTTAATAGATAGATGAAAAGGGTGTTACATGAGGATAATTGGGGGTATGGTAAAAAAAAAGACATAGCAGAGTTAGACCCAGCGGGGAGTAACTCTATTATACAAAAAAAACTCCTTGACATAGAAGCACAAACAGCACACACACAAACATCAGAGTCCAATGGGGAGGCAGGGATGGGCGGGGATCCTGAAGCCTCCAATGGGAGCTGCCGGTACGGCGCATCAACCAGCTGCAGACCAACAGGTGGGAGGGAGAGATAAGGAACAGAGAGCACATTGAGTTTCCCGCAGACGTCTCAATCTGAAGGAAGAGGGTGAAGGTCGGGACACAGCATCTGTCGGCATTCCTCCTTTCGTGGGGGTGTGTTGAAGCAGCCTTGAGAGGCTGCTATGGCGTCAGATAAGGATAAACATGACTTTGTTTGGGGCAGGCAGAGATAATTTTCCTCTCTTCCTTGGAGTCTATTAAGTGGTCATTCATGTCCAACGTGAAGCCAATTGTATGTGTTCTAAACATCTCCACATCGTCCGGTGACCCTCTCCGAGATGACATCCATCTTGCGTACTAAAACAGGCAATGCCGCGAGGAAATGATCCAGCTTACGGTTCACCTCGAGTAACGTCCCAGTCTGTGAGGTCACCGCCCGAGCCGCACATTCCATGGGCACGGGTCGCACTCCAATCGCTCCCATCTTCCCAAATTTCCAGAAAACCAGATATCCTCCCACTCCAATCAGAAGAAATACAGTGACCATCAGGCCGAACATCCACAAATCTTCCACGTCCTCGATGGACAACTGAGAGAGGCACACGATCCGCCAGACCTCCCAAGAATCGAGTGCATATCCCGCTGCGAATGTCCCCTTGGGACAGGTGGGAGCCCCCTTCTCCGTTCTCATCGTAGAAAAAATTTTGTCAATCGCGTTGAATGACCAGTTAATTAGGTCCATATTTCCAAAAGAGTAGTGGTTTTCCGGAGAAATGCAGAGAAGTGCTCTGTAGGCAGACGGGACAAGAGCCTTGGGGAAGCCGATAAGGGAGCTGAGAAAAAAGCGTCTGTACTCTCTGAAGGCTGAGAATACAGAATAAATGAACAAATACTAAAGTATGCAGTGTTGATGTCGCCTGGCGTGTGACGTCTGCTCTCGGGTTCAAAGCAAACAAAAACTAATGCATGAATTCCATTACAACATAACATTTTTATTGCAAAAACATGCAGCTGCACCTGCTACTGTATTAGCAGCAAAACAACAAACTGCATGCATGCAGTTTGTCAGTGACTTTAAAACATCACCTCCACCATAAAACTTTTTCTGTGCTCCAAATACAGAAAAACATCCCTTACCAGGGTTTTTTGAATAAAAAAATACATAAGTTTAAAATGTTAAATAATAGTTAACATCACTTAAATGCAACAGCAAATTCTCTCATTGCTACTGAACATTTTCTCCACTTGTGTGATTATGATATAAGGCTGTTGCTGCTATTGGGAAGTGAACTGTGCTGGGCCAAACTAGGAGAATATTAAGATTTTCTGAGGGAAAGAGAAAAACAATTGTCTACCTTTCAGAAGAGGAACTGGCAAAAAACTACATGGAAAATATGTGAAAACGTTTGTTTTTAACCCCAAATTGAACAAGTTTACCTAGATCTTAAAAAGCAGCTCAAATGATGAAACTGCAACTATGACTCGGATAACAAGCTAACAAATTGAACTAGCTCCTCTTAAGATAACCGGCTAGCAGAGCTTCTGACTGACAGTTTATGTGCAGCAGCAAATCAACTATCCTGATTAACAAGGTTATAAAAGCTCAAAAATGAAAAATCACTTTGATGTGTGGGGGAACTTTTCCAGGCCCTCTTTAGCAGGGTGGGACTGGGAGGAGAGTGCTGTAGCCTTTTAGCTGGAAGCTAACCGGAGCCTGGGGCTAACGGTGGGTTGGTTCACCGGCATGTGTCGAAGTCAGCCCGGTTATTATCAGCTGCTTAACGACAACGAGCGGACTCACGTTCACATTTGAAAGCAGCGCTGATTCCAGAAACCTCAGCACAAAGTGCGTTTGTTGCTCTGAGCCAGCATGACAAACAAGGGAAGCGAGCGGCAGCGGGGGCGGAGCGGAGATAGTGAAATTTTGGGGTAAGGGTCTACGTAGGGGGCGGGCATATTACGTGAACGGACCCATCTGATTGGCCGCATATCAGAAGGGCTACATTTGATTGGTCAAATAATACTTCCGCATAAAAAACAGAGCTGGTTTACAAAAAGTGGATGTATGAGACGGATGGAAATGTTTGAACCAAACATTTATCGCCATTTTTGACGTGCTTTGCGATGGGCCTATCGCAAGTCCTGTTATCCAGATGACGATAATTTTTCGATATATTGTGCAGCCCTACTGTAGTTAAATTTATGCAACTCACAAAGTACAAACCACTGGTAAAAGACAATTATTTGTACACTACACAAACTATTTAAAAGCAGCGTAGACACACCATGCTACTCTCTCTACTGCAACGCTCCAAAACTCTGATCTAGCTGCTCATCATTGTGTAACGATACTGTGCTGCATCACAATGGAAACGGAGATTTAGTGAAATAATTACAGCTTAGTGGCCACAAAATGTGGCTTGCAGGACAGGGAGATATGGCTCATGGGCTGGAAGCAACTCTGATCTAGGACAACTTGGGGTGCAACACATGGAACTAGGATGTACAAACTACAATCATTTTTGGACTTGTATTATTACATTAGTTCCTTGTGTCCTTGTGTGGTCTCCCATGTGTCTGGTTAAACTTGTCTTTTGGGAAAACATTTGGTCACAGAGCTCACAGACAAAAGGCTTCTGTCCTGTGTGGACTCTCATGTGATTATTTAAATTTGTCTGTTGGCTAAATCTTTTTCCACAGAGCTCACATGGAAATGGCTTCTCTCCTGTGTGGACTCTCATGTGTCTGTCTAAAGTAGACTTACGGCTAAATCTTTTTCCACAAAGCTCACAGACAAAAGGTTTTTGTTCTGTGTGGTCTCTCATGTGTGTGGTTAAATTTGACTTCAGGCTAAATCTTTTTCCACAGACTTCACAGACAAAATTTTTCTGTCCTGTGTGAACTCTTATGTGTTTGTTTAAATCTCCCTTCAATCTAAAGCTTTTTCCACAAAGCTCACAGACAAAAGGCTTCTGTCCTGTGTGGCGTTTTAAGTGAAGGTTCAATCTTGACTTCAGGCTAAATCTTTGTGGACAGAGGTCACAAGCAAAAGGCTTCTGTCCTGTGTGGACTGTCATGTGACTGTTTAAATTTGACTTCAGGCCAAATCTTTTTCCACAGAGCTCACAGACAAAAGGTTTCTGTCCTGTGTGGACTCTTATGTGTTTGTTTAAATCTCCCTTCAATCTAAAGCTTTTTCCACAGAGCTCACAGACAAAAGGTTTCTGTCCTGTGTGGACTCTTATGTGTTTGGTTAAATCTCCCTTCAATCTAAAGCTTTTTCCACAGAGCTCACAGACAAAAGATTTCTGTCCTGTGTGGACTCTCATGTGATCGCTTAAATTTCCCTTCCATCTAAAGCTTTGTCCACAGAGTTCACAGGAGAAAGGTTTCTGTCCTGTGTGCACTCTCGTGTGCTTGTTTAATTGGAATTTTACATTAAATATTTTTCCACAGTCGTCACATCTAAATGATTTTAGATCTTTCTGAACTTTTCCAATTTCAGACCCAGAGTTAGGCAGTTCAGAGTCTAGATTCACAGCATCATCATCATCATCATCATCATCATCATCTCCACTAACTTCAGTCTCTGAAGAATCAGATGTTTGTTCTTGAGGGTTCAGATCTGGGTTCCCGCTAGTTTCTGCTCCTCCACCAGTTTCTGCTTTAATCTGGTCAGCTGAGCGGCTGGATGGAACATCTCTGTCTTCTATTTGCTGCTGATGAAGTTGTGAGAACAGAGGCTTCTCTTCATCATCTTCACTTTTTATAGGAACTGCAGTGAAAATAATAGAAGTATATAAAATAAAACAGGCAGTAAAGAACAGTGTAACGTACAAAAAGGTCTATTTTTCACCATCTAATTGACACAACATAACCTTTCATGCACCTTTCATGGCAACACCATCTGGAGTCCCAAACAACCCTTTGCTCACTTATTGTTCCTCACAGCAGACATAAACACTCTCACCCAAAGTCTGATGCAGGAGCCTGGCTGCTGCATTCCTCACACTAAATAAAAAGTGAACCTTATTATTATTATTATTATTATTATTATGCTTTTTTTTTTGCACTTCCTTCCAAGACCTCTTGACCAGGTCATGTTTGTAAATGAGAACATGTTCTTAAACATTTTACCTGGAAAAATAAAGGTTGGAAAAAAAAAAGGTGGGGGAGGCACTGCCTCCTCTGTCATCATGACAAGTAAAATACTAATAATGACTAATATCAAGTAAAAGTGTCCACTGACTGGTCTATACATTAGTTTTCTGTATGATGTCATCATGTTTATGGTCAAAATCACAGAATTTACATGTTTCCTGAAAAATTAATCTGCCCTCTTCCCAAAAAGAAATAAATAATCCAAATTGACCTTTTATTAAATATCTTGTTTTTCATGATACTGTTGAACAGAAGAGAATTGACCATTTTAAGCGTTACAATCAAAGGTTCTCATTAATGTTTAAATAAAAATGCTAGCTCTCGTCTGGGCTAATACATTTGTACATATGAGACGTGCAGGTGCCTCCCCAGTCATGAGCCTGACCGCACGTCACTGAGGAGGAACTAGTTTGTTGTGAAGGCTGCTCATCATGCAGCTGTCTCTTCCAGCATTCTGAATGCCCAGTTTGCACACATTACAAGTGTCTGTTATCACTGTCCGGTTAAAATAAAACATAAAAACATGTTAGCTTTCCTGTGGAGACACGTTAGCCTCCTAGCTAACAGCTGCTGATCAACCTTCTGATTAAGGGACAGACACCTAACTCCTCTGCCACCATAACCCTAGTGATTTATACTGGAACTGTAGATAAATGTCGTAGTGAATCACCGCTGTAGACCTCTGTGTCTATTAGAAATGCTCTCAGTGGTTTATTAGAGTCCAGTAGTCACTGAGCAGAAAAAAACATCTCTGTGAAAACAAATGGAAGCAAGCAGAGAGAAAAGCAGGAAGTGGTTTAACTGGTAAAGTGGTCATGACTGAAGGAATGAGGTAACTGGTAGAACGCTGACAGAAAGAAGAGATGGAGCCGATTTCTGGTTTCAGGAGCCGATGTTGATGTTTTCTTGTGTTTGTGCAACACTGAAGTCTGTCTGCAGAGACCATCTGTACAGAGATGCTGGATTATGGATGTGGGAGTGCTGATGGTTTGGTGTGCACCAGTACCTGTGTCCATGCTGTCCAGGTCCAGGTGTGAAGAACACACGATGAATCAGTCCCAGATCCTGAAGTGGTAGCAGGTTTTCTTTAGCCGTGTTTAGCTAACAGCTGCAATAGAAACAAAGCAGGAGAGCTGATTAAGATGCTGCTTCAGAACAACGCAGGAGATTAAAGATCCAACGCTTTGGTTCTGATCAGCTGAGGACAGATCCGGTCTGGAAAAGAGGACCTTTGCTCACCAGAGTTCACGGAGTAGAGCTAACCGCTTTTTCCTCCAGAGTCACATTCAGATTCGGGGCGTTTCCGTCGGAGAGTGTGAGCAGGATGGATCAGAGAGCGAGCAGCGATCCTGCATCATGACCAACTCAGATGAGCGAGTCTGATAGAGGGAACCTCTTCAATCTGATGAAAGCAGCAAAACGAGCGCGTTTCTCAGAGAGGCCAAAGGAACAGCAGCAGATCCAGAGGGCAGGAAGTCTAGAGAAAAGCTTTTCTCACCCACAACCTGATTCTGGAGCTCCGATTGACACGAAGACCGCAGAATATCTTCTCCGGTTCTGGAAAGAACTCCACCAAGTTGTTGAGGAGGAGAAGAAAGTTTCCACAGCCTGGTGAGAAGATTTCTGCAGCAGCAGCAGTTAGTCGCTTTAGCTGATCAACTCTCCCAGAGACTGAAGTGAAGACATTTTTACTGCAGAGCCTCAAATATTCTCCTCACACACCAGAACAACAAGCTAGCTCGGCTAGCACCTTCTGGTTTCTGGTTTCTCGGGCGGTCGGTGACCAGCGTAAAGGTGCACTAGCACCACCTGCTGGAGCAGAATAAAACACACATTTTTATTATTTTTTTTAACAGTTTCTTCAAAAGCCCTGACAAACGTAAGAGTAAATAAATGTATTTGTGATGTTCTATCAACTCATTTTGACCTATTTTATTTTTCTCTTGATTTCTTGACCTATAAACAAACAGAGAAGTGATAGGTAATTTAATGCTATCCCATATTACCTTAAAGGACGACACACCCAGAGAGAGAGAGAGAGAGAGAGAGAGAGAGAGAGAGAGAGAGAGAGAGAGAGAGAGAGAGAGAGAGAGAGAGAGAGAGAGAGAGAGAGAGAGAGAGAGAGAGAGAGAGAGAGAGAGAGAGAGAGAGAGAGAGAGAGAGAGAGAGAGAGAGAGAGAGAGAGAGAGAGTAAAATCATTTGTAATGTCCATGTGTGTGGCTCAACCAGCCCCCCACTCTGCTCCAGCCTCAAAGCTTTCTCCTCACCTGCTCTGTATACCTGCATTCTCCAATTATCTGGTAGATAATATTTAACCTCCATAACCCTGGAACCTGAAATAAACACACATGACAACAAGGAAGACATTTTACACTGAATTAGCCAAATGAGGGGATCACCGACATGGCACATAACTCTCTCCAGAGCTATGGTGCCAGGCGACTCCCCCAGTCCTCAGAGTCTTCAGTGGTTTTATTCAAGCAAAGGGTGGGGGGAGAAGGCGGGCCTTCTCAAGTTACAGAGGTACAGAGTTTTCTCAATTAACATCCTTGCTCAACCTTTTTATGAACAGCCAACACAGAGATTCATGATGTGTAATGGGCATCTTTTAGGTCTCAAAAAGGTACATTTATAAAAATACCCAACAAGAAGTATTTTCAGAAAAATAATTTCTGTAAAGAATGTGGGAGAAACCTTTGATGTTTGTTTTGTTTTTTTCTGAAGCCGCTCTGAGAAGAAAACAAAAAGTGTTGTGAAGGTGCTGATTTAGAAATTGTCTCATGTAATGCTTGGTGCGGCCACCAGACGCTCTTGTTTTCTTCACTCAATGAGGTCTGATGGGCAAAAATACAGTTTACTAAATGTAATATTCTATGTATAATAGACATATATATACACTCACCTACAGGACTATTAGGAACACCATACTAATACGGTGTTTGAGCCCCTTTTACCTTCAGAACTGCCTTAAATCTACGTGGCATTGATTCAACAAGGTGCTGAAAGCATTCTTCAGAAATGTTGCCTCACATTGATAGGATAGCTTCTTGTAGTTGGAGATTTGTGGGATGGAGCCATGTGTGGTGTTGTGGGATTTGATCAGAGACTTAAAGAGAAAACACTTCTGGATTCAGCCAGCAAAGTTTAAGTTTTATTACAAGAAGAAGAAACAAATAATGAAGCATAAACATCATTGCTAAGATCTAGAACAACACTTAGTAGCAGAGTCAACTGTAATCTATGTGAAACAAACACATCTCATTAAAATAAAGGATAGAAAATAAAAATAGGTAAAAACAACGATTAAAAGAAATCTCCACCATCCTGTAACTGCTGCTTTACCCAGAAGGACAACAGAACACACTCATAACACCTGAATGATGGAGGACACTAACAGGTCTGCAGAGAACATTTAATGTTCAAATGATTCAAAAATAAAACCATCATAACAGCCCTAGACAGATGAAGACACGAGACATTCTGTATGAAAGACCATCATGTCTCCTGTCAAGTGTTGATGATCCAACAGCGGACTGAACCAGAACCGCTCTGAACTCTGTCATTTACCATCTAAACACACTTCCATCTCTTCCACTTTCACAGACACTTTTTAGAGATGTGAATCTTACAACAACTCACGATTCAATTCTGAATCGATTCTCCAAGTGTCAGTGTAGACTAGAACGTGTGTGTGTGTGCGTGTGTGTGTGTGTGTGTGTGTGTGTGTGTGTGTGTGTGTGTGTGTGTGTGTGTGTGTGTGTGTGTGTGTGTGTGTGTGTGTGTGGTGGATTAGAGCCCTGCACGGGCCTGAAATCTGAGCCCGTGTCCGGCCCGGCCCGAGGGGGTGGAGCCCCAGCCTGACCCGGCCCGAAAAGGTTTTCAGGATTTTCTGGCCCGACCCGAGCCTGAGCCCAACTTTTTTTTAACCAACTAAATGAAAACAAAGTGCGTCAATCCTGACCAATGTGTTAAAAGACGTGCAGGATCCGATCAATTTGTTTTTCCCTCATTTACCGTCACGGAGATGACGGCGCACTGGCTCTGGTGGTAATCAAGTTAAATTTGATCTCTTTCCAACAATTTTCACAAGAAAACAGAACAGTTGAAAGCAGGGCTTGTGTTGTGTTGACCGTATAGTTCCCGTATTTGACCGTTTATTTTGACAGAGAAAGAATAGAAAGAATTACCCCGACGCATGCAGACGAACTGACATTTTATTTGTTATGTAAATCGCAGATGTAGCTAAATCACCCAAGAAAAGATTCCCATCTGAACATCTGAGCTGCTCAGCGCAGCTCGCTGTCAGCGCATATGTACACAGGGAGCTGAAGTTGTGGAGATTGGCTTGGAGCGTGTCGCAGAACCAGAGCGCGTGCGGGAAGATTCCTCCCACTGAAGCGAGTGTTTTCCAAACCCTGTCTCTCAGAGAGACTTGTCACTTAGAACATGTTCCCTGATTATGAAACTTTGGCTGAATAGTGCTTGTTCCTGTCTCCAATGTGGCGACACATCCAGGAGCTTTCTGAGGAGAAGCCCAGAATCTCACGTCCTCTTCAGCTCAGAAAGCGCCTATGATTACGCACAAGCGTGACGCGTCAACCCGGTCTCACAGTCAGACCGGGTTGGACCTGTTCAGGTTTACGCAGACAATCTTTACATAGAATTGACTTACAGATATAAAATTAATTCAGTAAAATATAAAGCATTTTATTTAAATATCCATTCATTATTTTACCAGCACAGAGAGCCGCATCAGATGGATGGAAGTGACACGTTTTCTCCAGGACCAGAGAGGACGCAAACTCAATACATCTCTTTTATTGTGAGGTAATAATTTCTCCGAGTTTTGCGGTTGCGGGCGGGAGTAGACACGCACGCTGCGGGTGCGGGCGCGAGTGTAACACACATGTTGCGGTTGCGGGCGGTAATGGTCAGAAATTCAGCGGGAGCGGGCAGGAGCGGGATGAAGAAAACAGTCCCGCGCAGGGCTCTCCTGCTGCGTTTGTGTTTCAATTTTTTTTAATGAATTCAATTAAAAATAAAGGCGCCCGGCCCATGTCAGAGGTAATTACACAGTCGTTAGCCCGAAGCCCGGCCCGAGGGCCGTCGGGCCGGGCCGACCCGAGGGCCTAGGGCTTCAGTGCAGGGCTCTAGTGGGGGTGGGTGGGGTCATTTTGCCTTGGCCCCCAAAATGTCTTGAAACGGCCCTGGGTGTGTGACTGAGTTTTGAAGGTGATCTGAATTGTATCAGATGTATAAATATGTGTATAACTTATTGTTTTATACAGGTAAAAACGTGTAGTGGAGATAAATCTACCTACATTTTACTTTTCATAACTTTGTTTTGTTTTCTTGTTTTTATTGAACTATTTTCCTGTCCTGTCTGTCTCTCATCTTCCTGCATCTCCTCTAAACTCTCCAGAAAAACTGCTGCCTGGATTCTTACTTTTTCACCTCAGCAGTTACTTCTGAGCAGATCAAAGGGATCTCCTGACCGCAAAGCGGAGAGCGCGTTTCAATGCTGCGTCAGTGAGGTGAAATCACCACAGCACAGGTGATGAGCTCCGCAGTATGACACGTCTCTAAATAAAGTAAAATTTTCTAGTGCAGAGAGGAGACAGCCCATAGAAGCACTGATTTGATCTCATTTCAGAGAAAAATAGAACAGGTTAGATGCACCTAATAAATAAAATTACTAACAAGCTCAGGAATCTGTTTCTTTGCTTCACCGTTCTGGTGCTGAAAATATCACTAATGCGGATCAAAGGAGATACACAGATGAATGCACCTCTTATTTATTATTTGGAGACTACATTTACTGCAGCTGGCAGAGGCAGAGATTGTTTCTATTGATACACGGAATTTACAGAATCATTTTAAATGTTAATAGGGGAAGACTGCAGGAGGGAGCGGTAAAATACAGGGGGTCCCCAGCAAAAACAAGAAACTTTACGAGTCTGATGAAACCCGCTGGTTTTCCATCAGGCAGTCACAGGGCAGCTCCAACGACCCAGTGGCTGTGCTGGGTCAATGTTATCGAGCTCAGTCCGGCTCAACCGTGAACGAGCCGAGGCGACGTCGTGCTCTGCTTAAGAAGAGGTGTTATTTTCCCGCTTCAGAAGAAGCGTCCAACGTGTTTTTACACTTTCTCCGAGACATGTCACGTCGCTAAGTTGTTAGCGCCGCGCGCTAACGCGTCAATAGTGCAGCGTAGCCTGCTGGAGGTTTTAAGGGTTCAGATGAAAACACCCAACCTCTCACGCTGCTCACACATCGATCTTAAGTTGTCGATGTTGCGCTCACGCCATAATACAGTATTAGATGCAGTTAAAGTCAAACATGAAAAAATAAATAAATTTTACATGAATAAGTGATGCTTAGCCTGGTGGGGGGAGGAGAACCTGGCCTAATAAGCACTGGAGGAAACCCTGTCAAGATCATCAACACTCGTTTATCTTAATGCTATTGAAACATGTAAACCAAAAAGCATTATATCCACTGCTACCTTTCTAATTTTAAACTCAGTAACTTATGCTGTAACTTCACCTTGCCCTGCCTGCTCCTCCTTGCTGCCCGCCGGCTGTGATCACAAGCGACAACATAGTAGGGAAACAGCGCAAAAAAAGTAAAAATAAAAAAAAAAATACTTGGGATCTTGTGGGATTTCAGCCGAGGCGGGCTGCCACGGCTACGCCTATGTAAGGGAAACCCTGAATTGGTTAAAGTTACGAGATTCTGTATTGTGTAAGTAAACAGCTAGCAAGGGTCCGTCCGTGGACCGAGCGTGGCAGGAGAGGCAGTTAGCTAAAATTGTAACGCAAAAAGTTCCTTTGCCAAATTTATAGTCTACATACCTCTGCTTTGGGCCCGTTTTTTTTCTTCCTCCTTCCCTCGCTTTCGGAATGCTGATCCCGATGGCTTAGGTGTTCTTTTCATCGTAAAAGATATCAAAAGTTTAAACGCAACGACAACAGGATGTCCTTCTGTGCTACCCACGCACGTGATCTACGGCACCCTTAACGGTCAAATGCATCGGAGCGGTGGTCCAAGCGGGAGCTCGTCATGCAGCCAGATCATTAGAATTTAAATATTGATGTTTTAATTTCATGTCATTTCAGAGGGGAATTTTGAGTATGTAGAGAGTGCATTTCATATTACAAACATAAATTTAAAAAAATTATTATTTTTTTGCGCCCTATCCATCAGATGGCGCCCCAGGCGGCCGCCTGTGTCGCCTGTCGGCAAAGCCGGCCCTGAGCAGGAAAATGATGAAGAAGGTGAGACAGGCAGCACCAGACCTGCTGAGGTGCAGGTAGGTGCTACAATGGAGTGAGGTTTTAGATGGTTCATGATGAGAGGAAGATTCGAGCATGATAACAAGTGAACACGACTAAATAATACCATAACAACCAATTTTAATATTGCACTAGTCGTTCAACAGTATTTTTTACTCCTTATTCCTGTCCACTGTTTTTATATTAGAGATCAGATGAAGTTCAGCAGGAACCAGCTGAGGGTGAGACAGAGAGAGCCAGACCTGCTGAGGTGCTACAATGAAGAATGAGATGGTTTTAGGTTGCTGATGAGAGGAAGATTTGAATGTAATAATAAGTGAACACAGTTAAATATATGCAATCCCATAACAAGTAGGGCTGGGCAGTACGGTTTAAGAATAAATTACATTCTGTATATGCTTCCTTAGAAATATTAGAAAAATAAGTGTTAAACTCTGCTTTCTGGTGCATTTAGACTGCAGTTTTGGCCACTGTTTTTTTCTTTTGTCCATCTGAAAAATAATGTAGTTCCAGCTGTTGTTGTAAGTGAATTATTTCTTTTTTCATTCTGTCAGAAGCAAACAGATTTTTCTGATTGTTGGTCAGCATTGTTGGCTGATGTAGTTTAAAATATTCTGATGAGAGTCAGATCAATTCAGACTGAATATTCACAGCTTTAGTCTTGTATTAAATCTGTTTACACATCTCTACCCATATGAATAAGATAATATATCCTACATTCATATTATTAAATAAAAATAAAACAGTACTGACACATAAACAGCTTTTTATAATTAAAACATCCACGTTGGCCGGTAATCACCTGGATCTGGCTAATGGGGAGCCTAAGTCTCCTCCCCTTCCGGCTGGCTCATGGGTCCCCGATAAAAAAAAATAAAAAAAAAAACAGAATGTTAGTGAACTGGGCTATAAAAGTTATTTTCTTGTCTTTCTGGGCTTTGCCTTACGCCCAGAGTCACATCTGTCAGACTTTTCTAATCCTAGAGTTTCACCGTCTATCTGAAGCTAATGCAGGAGATAGCGGTAGGAGACTATGTTCATGTTCAGCCTGCATGAAACACTCACTGACACATTAGAATCAGAAATAATCATTAAATGTATTTTTTTCAGTGAAGTTGACCCATAGAGCTCCAGGAGTTGACGTCACTTCTCCCGGCATGCAACAGTTCAAATCGAAATGGCGCCATATTGGCAGGTAGAAGCCCGCAGCTGGACTATTTGTTATTGTCAGAAAACTCAATCAGACAGGAAATATGGTAGATTCCTGTTGTGCCCCAGGATGCAGAACAGACGCGGACGACATAAGGAATGAGCCTTCTACAGGATTCCCCAAGATCCGGAGCGCCGCAAACATTGGATCACTTGGACGCTAGTGACCGGGCTAAAATGAAGCTGTGGGATCCCGAGAGTAAAGGTTTTCGCTTATGCAGCGACCGCTTCATATCAGGTACTTAAACCAACGTTTCCTCAACTGTGTATGGTATTTATTTTAAATGCTTTTATTACGATTCTTAGTGGGCTTCCTAAACTTATTTTGGCGTGGCTTTTTCTGTCTTATTACTCATAGCAGCAAGTAAACATCACGTAAAACGTTGCCTCGTGAGTTCTGCGTGCTGCCGTTTACGTGTTTTATGATGACAGCAATTAACCGGCTAAGCTGTCTTTAATTTTTAAGCAATGGTTGATCAATTGTCAGATCACACATAAAAAGCACTTTGGATTGCTATTACCTGTCTCACCGAGACAGATCTCAGACAGATCCTGAGATGCTCCTGCCTGACATATTTATTTTATTCATGGAAGAAAATCAAACTAGTGATTTCTCTTGGCGTTCAGTTTATACATTCGAACAGCACAGCACTCTATTTAAACTACTTACATGTAAATCTATGTTCTTTGTCCATCCATTTTCATCCGCATATCCGGAGTCGGGTTGCGGGGGCAGTAGCGTCGAGAGGCCCAGACTTCCCTCTCCCCAGCCGCCTAGCCAGCTCCTCCGGGGGAATCCCAAGGGGTTCCCCGGCCAGGTCCAGTAAGAAGTCCGCTCCGACAGCTTCTGGCATTTTTAAAAAGTATCCCAGGGGCACGGTAAGGGTCGGAGATGTTTAGTCTATTTAATTTCTGACTATATAAAACGATTTCTTCGGTTTTAAAGTGTGAAGTAAACTCCGACGAAGTAAAATCCAAGCCGATCCCGTTCACGTTTACGATCTGTGTTTGTTTAGCTTCTTTTACCTGCCATTTTGGCATCTACTAACTGAGAGTCACGTGGGGTCCGGAGCTCTATGTATTGACCTACAACAGATTTGTTAGATTTCCAAAATGTGTCCCCCCAATATTAAACTCATTCCTACACCCTTGTGCATAGCAACTTTGGATCAATCCATATCAATTTCAGACTTAAAATAATGTATTGATGTAAACCACACCCACTTCCGGGTTAGGCCACGCCCACTCCGAGTACAGATAAAGATAATTTAGATGGTTGAACAGATACAGATACAGGTGTACTCGCTCATCCCTAATTTGAACTATTTGAGTAAAACGGACAATTGAACCATGCTTCCGTTTTATACATTAGGTTACTTTTATTTTTTTATGTTTTTAATCCTCGTCTCCTACGTGCATCATTTTTTTCATGACAGTACTGGAACTAACACCGTTGCTATTTTTTAAACACTGGCTGTATACGGTAATGCGGTAATCCTTCCCAAGCCTACTCCTAACACCATTTTTTAGAAGGAATTAATCCTGATTTCATCAGAAAGACAGACAGTGTTCTTCACTTTTGTTTGATTGACAGCCCTCTCTTGTTTTGCTTCACAATCTTAGTTTCTAAATGCTAGGTTAAAACACAAGACGCACGTCTGTAAACAACAGGAAACTGTCTAAATTTGCTGAATGTGTGAAAAGTTATGGAAATGTTGGACTGTCATCTGATCACACTAGCAGGGCCCAATCCTGGAACTACTTGATGAACACCTGAAGAGATCTGTAGTTATATTTATGCAACTCACAAAGTACAAACCACTGGTAAAAGACAATTATTTGTACACTACACAAACTATTTAAAAGCAGAGTAGACACGCCATGCTACTCTCTCTACTGCAACGCTCCAAAACTCTGATCTAGCTGCTCATCATTGTGTAGCGATACAATCAACCAATCAATTAATCAATCAATCAATCAATCAATCAATCCTTTATTAATCCCAGAGGGAAATTAGAGTTTCAGTACACACAATTCTGAGATTAGACATACATGGGCAAGACACATGATAAAAATTGGTGACTGTGGTCATTCGCAACCTGAGTCGTGCTACCTTAATAGAGATGCATTGCGCTGCATCACAATGGAAACAGAGATATAGTGAAATAATTACAGCTTAGTGGCCACAAACTGTGACTTGCAGGACAGGGAGAGGTGGCTCATGGGCTGGAAAAAACTCTGATCTAGGACAAAAACCAGGAGTGCAACACATGGAACTAGGATGTACAAACTACAATCATTTTTGGACTTGTGTTATTACATTAGTTCCTTGTGTCCTTGTGTGGTCTCCCATGTGTCTGGTTAAACTTGTCTTTTGGGAAAACATTTGGTCACAGAGCTCACAGACAAAAGGCTTCTGTCCTGTGTGGACTCTCATGTGATTATTTAAATTTGTCTGCTGGCTAAATCTTTTTCCACAGAGCTCACAGGGAAAAGGCTTCTGTCCTGTGTGGACTCTCGTGTGACTGTTTAAAGTTGACTTACGGCAAAATCTTTTTCCACAAAGCTCACAGACAAAAGGCTTCTGTCCTGTGTGGACTCTCGTGTGACTGTTTAAAGTTGACCTTTGGCTAAATCTTTTTCCACAGAGCTCACAGAGAAAGGGTTTATGTCCTGTGTGGACTCTAATGTGTTTATATAAATCTCCCTTCATTCTAAAGCTTTTTCCACAGAGCTCACAGGGAAAAGTCCTGTGTGGACTCTCATGTGTCTGGTTAAACTTGACGTTTGAGAAAACATTTGGCCACAGAACCCACAGACATAAGGCTTCTGTCCTGTGTGGAATGTCATGTGACTGTTTAAAGATGACTTACAGCTAAATCTTTTTCCACAAAGCTCACAGACAAAAAGCTTCTGTCCTGTGTGGACTCTCGTGTGACTGTTTAAATGTGACTTCATGCTAAATCTTTGACCACAGAGCTCACATGGAAATGGCTTCTCTCCTGTGTGGACTCTCATGTGATAATTTGAAGCTGACTTTTGGCTAAATCTTTTTCCACAGAGCTCACAGACAAAAGGTTTCTGTCCTGTGTGGACTCTTATGTGTTTGTTTAAATCTCCCTTCAATCTAAATCTTTTTCCACAGAGCTCACAGGGAAAAGGCTTCTGTCCTGTGTGGACTTTAATGTGTCTGTTTAAAGTTACCTTACGGCTAAATCTTTTTCCACAAAGCTCACAGACAAACGGTTTCTGTCCTGTGTGGCCTCTCGTGTGACTGTTTAAAGATGACTTCAGGCTAAATCTTTGACCACAGAGCTCACATGGAAATGGCTTCTCACCTGTGTGGACTCTCATGTGATCATTTAAAGTTGACTTACGGCTAAATCTTTTTCCACAGAACTCACAGACAAAAGGTTTCTGTCCTGTGTGGACTCTTATGTGTTTGTTTAATTGGGATTTTACACTAAATATTTTTCCACAGTCGTCACATCTAAATGATTTTAGATCTTTCTGAACTTTCCTATCTGAGTCTAGATGTTGCTTCACTCTAACACTTTTATTATTAATCAAAAAGCCTGAAGAGCATATTGCTGAATGACTTGTAACTCTCACATGTTTCTGGAGAGACCGCTTATGGGGAAATAATTTACCACACTCAGGGCAGCTAAAAGATTTGTTGACTGTCTTAACTTCTGACTGAAAAGACCTGCTCTCATTCCAGTCATTGTTGTTGTCTCAATTTCAGACCCTGAGTTTGGCAGTTCAGAGTCTAGATTCACATCATCATCATCATCATCATCATCATCTCCACTAACTTCAGTCTCTGAAGAATCAGATGTTTGTTCTTGAGGGTTCAGATCTGGGTTCCTGCTAGTTTCTGCTCCTCCACCAGTTTCTGCTTTAATCTGGTCAGCTGAGCGGCTGGATGGAACATCTCTGTCTTCTATTTGCTGCTGATGAAGTTGTGAGAACAGAGGCTTCTCTTCATCTTCACTTTTTATAGGAACTGCAGTGAAAATAATAGAAGTATATAAAATAAAACAGACAGTAAAGAACAGTGTAACGTACAAAAAGGTCTATTTTTCACCATCTAATTGACACAACATAACCTTTCATGCACCTTTCATGGCAACACCATCTGGAGTCCCAAAACAACCCTTTGCTCACTTATTGTTCCTCAAAGCAGACATAAACACTCTCACCCAAAGTCTGATGCAGGAGCCTGGCTGCTGCATTCCTCACACTAAATAAAAAGTGAACCTTATTATTATTATTAATATACTTTTTTCTGCACTTCCTTCGAAGACCTCTTGGCCAGGTCATGTTTGTAAATAAGAACATGTTCTTAAACATTTTACCTGGTAAAATAAAGGTTGGAAAACATGGATGGGGGGAGGCACTGCCTCATCTGTCATCATGACAAGTAAAATACTAATAATGACTAATATCAAGTAAAAGTGTCCACTGACTGGTCTATACATTAGTTTTCTGTATGATGTCATCATGTTTATGGTCAAAATCGCAGAATTTATGTTTCCTGAAAAATAAATCTGCCCTCTTCCCAAAAAGAAATAAATAATCAAAATTGAACTTTTATTAAATATTTTGTTGTTTTTCATGATATTGTTGAACAGAAGAGAATCGACCATTTTAAGCGTTACAATCAAAGGTTCTAATTAATGTCTAAATAAAAATGCTAGCTCTCTTTTGTGGCTAATATATTTGTACATATGAGACGTGCAGGTGCCTCCCCAGTCATGAGCCTGACCGCACGTCACTGAGGAGGAACTAGTTTGTTGTGAAGGCTGCTCATCATGCAGCCGTCTCTTCCAGCATTCTGAATGCCCAGTTTGCACACATTACAAGTGTCTGTTATCACTGTCCGGTTAAAATAAAACATAAAAACATGTTAGCTTTCCTGTGGAGACACGTTAGCCTCCTCGCTAACAGCTGCTGATCAACCTTCTGATTAAGGGACAGACACCTAACTCCTCTGCCGCCATAACCCTAGTGATTTATACTGGAACTGTAGATAAATGTCGTAGTGAATCACCGCTGTAGACCTCTGTGTCTATTAGAAATGCTCTCAGTGGTTTATTAGAGTCCAGCAGTCACTGAGCAGAAAAACAACCATCTCTGTGAAAACAAATGGAAGCAAGCAGAGAGAAAAGCAGGAAGTGGTTTAACTGGTAAAGTGGTCCTGACTGAAGGAATGAGGTAACTGGTAGAACGCTGACAGAAAGAAGAGATGGAGCCGATTTCTGGTTTCAGGAGCCGATGTTGATGTTTTCTTGTGTTTGTGCATCACTGAAGTCTGTCTGCAGAGACCATCTGTACAGAGATGCTGGATTATGGATGTGGGAGTGCTGATGGTTTGGTGTGCACCAGTACCTGTGTCCATGCTGTCCAGGTCCAGGTGGTGAAGAACACACGATGAGTCAGTCCCAGATCCTGAAGTGGTAGCAGGTTTTCTTTAGCCGTGTTTAGCTAACAGCTGCAATAGAAACAAAGCAGGAGAGCTGATTAAGATGCTGCTTCAGAACAACGCAGGAGATTAAAGATCCAACGCTTTGGTTCTGATCAGCTGAGGACAGATCCAGTCTGGAAAAGAGGACCTTTGCTCACCAGAGTTCCCGGAGTAGAGCTAACCGCTTTTTCCTCCAGAGTCACATTCAGATTCGGGGCTTTTCCGTCGGAGAGTGTGAGCAGGATGGATCAGAGAGCGAGCAGCGATCCTGCATCATGACCAACTCAGATGAGCGAGTCTGATAGAGGGAACCTCTTCAATCTGATGAAAGCAGCAAAACGGGCGCGTTTCTCAGAGAGGCCAAAGGAACAGCAGCAGATCCAGAGGGCAGGAAGTCTAGAGAAAAGCTTTTCTCACCCACAACCTGATTCTGGAGCTCCGATTGTCACGAAGACCGCAGAATATCTTCTCCGGTTCTGGAAAGAACTCCACCAAGTTGTTGAGGAGGAGAAGAAAGTTTCCACAGCCTGGTGAGAAGATTTCTGCAGCAGCAGCAGTTAGTCGCTTTAGCTGATCAACTCTCCCAGAGACTGAAGTGAAGACATTTTTACTGCAGAGCCTCAAATATTCTCCTCACACACCAGAACAACAACAAGCTAGCTCTGCTAGCAGCTTCCGGTTTCTGGTTTCTCGGGCGGTCGGTGACCAGCGTAAAGGGGCACTAGCACCACCTGCTGGAGCAGAATAAAACACACATTTTTATTATTTTTTTAACAGTTTCTTCAAAAGCCCTGACAAACGTAAGAGTAAATAAATGTATTTGTGATGTTCTATCAACTCATTTTGGCCTATTTTATTTTTCTCTTGATTTCTTGACCTATAAACAAACAGAGAAGTGATAGGTAATTTAATGCTATCCCATATTACCTTAAAGGACGACACACCCAGAGAGAGAGAGAGAGAGAGAGAGAGAGAGAGAGAGAGAGAGAGAGAGAGAGAGAGAGAGAGAGAGAGAGAGAGAGAGAGAGAGAGAGAGAGAGAGAGAGAGAGAGAGAGAGAGAGAGAGAGAGAGAGAGAGAGAGAGAGAGAGAGAGAGAGAGAGAGAGAGAGAGAGAGAGAGAGAGAGAGAGAGAGAGAGAGAGAGAGAGAGAGAGAGAGAGAGAGAGAGTAAAATCATTTGTAATGTCCATGTGTGTGGCTCAACCAGCCCTCACTCTGCTCCAGCCTCAAAGCTTTCTCCTCACCTGCTCTGTATACCTGCATTCTCCAATTATCTGGTAGATAATATTTAACCTCCATTACCCTGGAACCTGAAATAAACACACATGACAACAAGGAAGACATTTTACACTGAATTAGCCAAATGAGGGGGAGATCACCGACATGGCACATAACTCTCTCCAGAGCTATGGTGCCAGGCGACTCCCCCAGTCCTCAGAGTCTTCAGTGGTTTTATTCAAGCAAAGGGTGGGGGGAGAAGGCGGGCCTTCTCAAGTTACAGAGGTACAGAGTTTTCTCAATTAACATCCTTGCTCAACCTTTTTATGAACAGCCAACACAGAGATTCATGATGTGTAATGGGCATCTTTTAGGTCTCAAAAAGGTACATTTATAAAAATACCCAACAAGAAGTATTTTCAGAAAAATAATTTCTGTAAAGAATGTGGGAGAAAACTTTGATGATTGTTTTGTTTTTTTCTGAAGCCGCTCTGAGAAGAAAACAAAAAGTGTTGTGAAGGTGCTGATTTAGAAATTGTCTCATGTAATGCTTGGTGCGGCCACCAGACGCTCTTGTTTTCTTCACTCAATGAGGTCTGATGGGCAAAAATAAAGTTTACTAAATGTAATATTCTATGTATAATAGACATATATATACACTCACCTACAGGACTATTAGGAACACCATACTAATACGGTGTTTGAGCCACTTTTACCTTCAGAACTGCCTTAAATCTACGTGGCATTGATTCAACAAGGTGCTGAAAGCATTCTTCAGAAATGTTGCCTCATATTGATAGGATAGCTTCTTGTAGTTGGAGATTTGTGGGATGGAGCCATGTGTGGTGTTGTGGGATTTGATCAGAGACTTAAAGAGAAAACACTTCTGGATTCAGCCAGCAAAGTTTAAGTTTTATTACAAGAAGAAGAAACAAATAATGAAGCATAAACATCATTGCTAAGATCTAGAACAACACTTAGTAGGAAAGTCAACTGTAATCTATGTGAAACAAACACATCTCATTAAAATAAAGGATAGAAAATAAAAATAGGTAAAATCAACGATTAAAAGAAATCTCCACCATCCTGTAACTGCTGCTTTACCCAGAAGGACAACAGAACACACTCATAACACCTGAATGATGGAGGACACTAACAGGTCTGCAGAGAACATTTAATGTTCAAATGATTCAAAAATAAAACCATCATAACAGCCCTAGACAGATGAAGACACGAGACATTCTGTATGAAAGACCATCATGTCTCCTGTCAAGTGTTGATGATCCAACAGCGGACTGAACCAGAACCGCTCTGAACTCTGTCATTTACCATCTAAACACACTTCCATCTCTTCCACTTTCACAGACACTTTTTAGAGATGTGAATCTTACAACAACTCACGATTCAATTCTGAATCGATTCTCCAAGTGTCAGTGTAGACTAGAACATGTGTGTGTGTGTGTGTGTGTGTGTGTGTGTGTGTGTGTGTGTGTGTGTGTGTGTGTGTGTGTGTGTGTGTGTGTGTGTGTGTGTGTGTGTGTGTGTGTGTGTGTGTGTGTGTGTGGTGGATTAGAGCCCTGCACGGGCCTGAAATCTGAGCCCGTGTCCGGCCCGGCCCGAGGGGGTGGAGCCCCAGCCTGACCCGGCCCGAAAAGGTTTTCAGGATTCTCTGGCCCGACCCGAGCCTGAGCCCAACTTTTTTTTAACCAACTAAATGAAAACAAAGTGCGTCAATCCTGACCAATGTGTTACAAGACGTGCAGGATCCGATCAATTTGTTTTTCCCTCATTTACCGTCACGGAGATGACGGCGCACTGGCTCTGGTGGTAATCAAGTTAAATTTGATCTCTTTCCAACAATTTTCACAAGAAAACAGAACAGTTGAAAGCAGGGCTTGTGTTGTGTTGACCGTATAGTTCCCGTATTTGACCGTTTATTTTGACAGAGAAAGAATAGAAAGAATTACCCCGACGCATGCAGACGAACTGACATTTTATTCGTTATGTAAATTGCAGATGTAGCTAAATCACCCAAGAAAAGATTCCCATCTGAACATCTGAGCTGCTCAGCGCAGCTCGCTGTCAGCGCATATGTACACAGGGAGCTGAAGATGTGGAGATTGGCTTGGAGCGTGTCGCAGAACCAGAGCGCGTGCGGGAAGATTCCTCCCACTGAAGCGAGTGTTTTCCAAACCCTGTCTCTCAGAGAGACTTGTCACTTAGAACATGTTCCCTGATTATGAAACTTTGGCTGAATAGTGCTTGTTCCTGTCTCCAATGTGGCGACACATCCAGGAGCCGTTTGAGGAGAATCCCAGAATCTAACATCCTCTTCAGCTCAGGAAGCGCCTATGATTACGCACAAGCGTGACGCGTCAACCCGGTCTCACAGTCAGACCGGGTTGGACCTGTTCAGGTTTACGCAGACAATCTTTACATAGAATTGACTTACAGATATAAAATTAATTCAGTAAAATATAAAGCATTTTATTTAAATATCCATTCATTATTTTACAAGCACAGAGAGCCGCATCAGATGGATGGAAGTGACATGTTTTCTCCAGGACCAGAGAGGACGCAAACTCAATACATCTCTTTTATTGTGAGGTAATAGTTTCTCCGAGTTTTGCGGTTGCGGGCGGGAGTAGACATGCACGCTGCAGGTGCGGGCGCGAGTGTAACACACATGTTGCGGTTGCGGGCGGTAATGGTCAGAAATTCAGCGGGAGCGGGCAGGAGCGGGATGAAGAAAACAGTCCCGCGCAGGGCTCTCCTGCTGCGTTTGTGTTTCAATTTTTTTTAATGAATTCAATTAAAAATAAAGGCGCCCGGCCCATGTCAGAGGTAATTACACAGTCGTTAGCCCGAAGCCCGGCCCGAGGGCCGTCGGGCCGGGCCGACCCGAGGGCCTAGGGCTTCAGTGCAGGGCTCTAGTGGGGGTGGGTGGGGTCATTTTGCCTTGGCCCCCAAAATGTCTTGAAACGGCCCTGGGTGTGTGACTGAGTTTTGAAGGTGATCTGAATTGTATCAGATGTATAAATATGTGTATAACTTATTGTTTTATACAGGTAAAAACGTGTAGTGGAGATAAATCTACCTACATTTTACTTTTCATAACTTTGTTTTGTTTTCTTGTTTTTATTGAACTATTTTCCTGTCCTGTCTGTCTCTCATCTTCCTGCATCTCCTCTAAACTCTCCAGAAAACCTGTTGCCTGGATTCATACTTTTTCACCTCATCAGTTACTTCTGAGCAGATCAAAGGGATCTCCTGACCGCAAAGCGGAGAGCGCGTTTCAATGCTGCGTCAGTGAGGTGAAATCACCACAGCACAGGTGATGAGCTCCGCAGTATGACACGTCTCTAAATAAAGTAAAATTTTCTAGTGCAGAGAGGAGACAGCCCATAGAAGCACTGATTTGATCTCATTTCAGAGAAAAATAGAACAGGTTAGATGCACCTAATAAATAAAATTACTAACAAGCTCAGGAATCTGTTTCTTTGCTTCACCGTTCTGGTGCTGAAAACATCACTAATGCGGATCAAAGGAGATACACAGATGAATGCACCTCTTATTTATTATTTGGAGACTACATTTACTGCAGCTGGCAGAGGCAGAGATTGTTTCTATTGATACACGGAATTTACAGAATCATTTTAAATGTTAATAGGGGAAGACTGCAGGAGGGAGCGGTAAAATACAGGGGGTCCCCAGCAAAAACAAGAAACTTTACGAGTCTGATGAAACCCGCTGGTTTTCCATCAGGCAGTCACAGGGCAGCTCCAACGACCCAGTGGCTGTGCTGGGTCAATGTTATCGAGCTCAGTCCGGCTCAACCGTGAACGAGCCGAGGCGACGTCGTGCTCTGCTTAAGAAGAGGTGTTATTTTCCCGCTTCAGAAGAAGCGTCCAACGTGTTTTTACGCTTTCTCCGAGACATGTCACGTCGCTAAGTTGTTAGCGCCGCGCGCTAACGCGTCAATAGTGCAGCGTAGCCTGCTGGAGGTTTTAAGGGTTCAGATGAAAACACCCAACCTCTCACGCTGCTCACACATCGATCTTAAGTTGTCGATGTTGCGCTCACGCCATAATACAGTATTAGATGCAGTTAAAGTCAAACATGAAAAAATAAATAAATTTTACATGAATAAGTGATGCTTAGCCTGGTGGGGGGAGGAGAACCTGGCCTAATAAGCACTGGAGGAAACCCTGTCAAGATCATCAACACTCGTTTATCTTAATGCTATTGAAACATGTAAACCAAAAAGCATTATATCCACTGCTACCTTTCTAATTTTAAACTCAGTAACTTATGCTGTAACTTCACCTTGCCCTGCCTGCTCCTCCTTGCTGCCCGCCGGCTGTGATCACAAGCGACAACATAGTAGGGAAACAGCGCAAAAAAAGTAAAAATAAAAAAAAAAATACTTGGGATCTTGTGGGATTTCAGCCGAGGCGGGCTGCCACGGCTACGCCTATGTAAGGGAAACCCTGAATTGGTTAAAGTTACGAGATTCTGTATTGTGTAAGTAAACAGCTAGCAAGGGTCCGTCCGTGGACCGAGCGTGGCAGGAGAGGCAGTTAGCTAAAATTGTAACGCAAAAAGTTCCTTTGCCAAATTTATAGTCTACATACCTCTGCTTTGGGCCCGTTTTTTTTCTTCCTCCTTCCCTCGCTTTCGGAATGCTGATCCCGATGGCTTAGGTGTTCTTTTCATCGTAAAAGATATCAAAAGTTTAAACGCAACGACAACAGGATGTCCTTCTGTGCTACCCACGCACGTGATCTACGGCACCCTTAACGGTCAAATGCATCGGAGCGGTGGTCCAAGCGGGAGCTCGTCATGCAGCCAGATCATTAGAATTTAAATATTGATGTTTTAATTTCATGTCATTTCAGAGGGGAATTTTGAGTATGTAGAGAGTGCATTTCATATTACAAACATAAATTTAAAAAAATTATTATTTTTTTGCGCCCTATCCATCAGATGGCGCCCCAGGCGGCCGCCTGTGTCGCCTGTCGGCAAAGCCGGCCCTGAGCAGGAAAATGATGAAGAAGGTGAGACAGGCAGCACCAGACCTGCTGAGGTGCAGGTAGGTGCTACAATGGAGTGAGGTTTTAGATGGTTCATGATGAGAGGAAGATTCGAGCATGATAACAAGTGAACACGACTAAATAATACCATAACAACCAATTTTAATATTGCACTAGTCGTTCAACAGTATTTTTTACTCCTTATTCCTGTCCACTGTTTTTATATTAGAGATCAGATGAAGTTCAGCAGGAACCAGCTGAGGGTGAGACAGAGAGAGCCAGACCTGCTGAGGTGCTACAATGAAGAATGAGATGGTTTTAGGTTGCTGATGAGAGGAAGATTTGAATGTAATAATAAGTGAACACAGTTAAATATATGCAATCCCATAACAAGTAGGGCTGGGCAGTACGGTTTAAGAATAAATTACATTCTGTATATGCTTCCTTAGAAATATTAGAAAAATAAGTGTTAAACTCTGCTTTCTGGTGCATTTAGACTGCAGTTTTGGCCACTGTTTTTTTCTTTTGTCCATCTGAAAAATAATGTAGTTCCAGCTGTTGTTGTAAGTGAATTATTTCTTTTTTCATTCTGTCAGAAGCAAACAGATTTTTCTGATTGTTGGTCAGCATTGTTGGCTGATGTAGTTTAAAATATTCTGATGAGAGTCAGATCAATTCAGACTGAATATTCACAGCTTTAGTCTTGTATTAAATCTGTTTACACATCTCTACCCATATGAATAAGATAATATATCCTACATTCATATTATTAAATAAAAATAAAACAGTACTGACACATAAACAGCTTTTTATAATTAAAACATCCACGTTGGCCGGTAATCACCTGGATCTGGCTAATGGGGAGCCTAAGTCTCCTCCCCTTCCGGCTGGCTCATGGGTCCCCGATAAAAAAAAATAAAAAAAAAAACAGAATGTTAGTGAACTGGGCTATAAAAGTTATTTTCTTGTCTTTCTGGGCTTTGCCTTACGCCCAGAGTCACATCTGTCAGACTTTTCTAATCCTAGAGTTTCACCGTCTATCTGAAGCTAATGCAGGAGATAGCGGTAGGAGACTATGTTCATGTTCAGCCTGCATGAAACACTCACTGACACATTAGAATCAGAAATAATCATTAAATGTATTTTTTTCAGTGAAGTTGACCCATAGAGCTCCAGGAGTTGACGTCACTTCTCCCGGCATGCAACAGTTCAAATCGAAATGGCGCCATATTGGCAGGTAGAAGCCCGCAGCTGGACTATTTGTTATTGTCAGAAAACTCAATCAGACAGGAAATATGGTAGATTCCTGTTGTGCCCCAGGATGCAGAACAGACGCGGACGACATAAGGAATGAGCCTTCTACAGGATTCCCCAAGATCCGGAGCGCCGCAAACATTGGATCACTTGGACGCTAGTGACCGGGCTAAAATGAAGCTGTGGGATCCCGAGAGTAAAGGTTTTCGCTTATGCAGCGACCGCTTCATATCAGGTACTTAAACCAACGTTTCCTCAACTGTGTATGGTATTTATTTTAAATGCTTTTATTACGATTCTTAGTGGGCTTCCTAAACTTATTTTGGCGTGGCTTTTTCTGTCTTATTACTCATAGCAGCAAGTAAACATCACGTAAAACGTTGCCTCGTGAGTTCTGCGTGCTGCCGTTTACGTGTTTTATGATGACAGCAATTAACCGGCTAAGCTGTCTTTAATTTTTAAGCAATGGTTGATCAATTGTCAGATCACACATAAAAAGCACTTTGGATTGCTATTACCTGTCTCACCGAGACAGATCTCAGACAGATCCTGAGATGCTCCTGCCTGACATATTTATTTTATTCATGGAAGAAAATCAAACTAGTGATTTCTCTTGGCGTTCAGTTTATACATTCGAACAGCACAGCACTCTATTTAAACTACTTACATGTAAATCTATGTTCTTTGTCCATCCATTTTCATCCGCATATCCGGAGTCGGGTTGCGGGGGCAGTAGCGTCGAGAGGCCCAGACTTCCCTCTCCCCAGCCGCCTAGCCAGCTCCTCCGGGGGAATCCCAAGGGGTTCCCCGGCCAGGTCCAGTAAGAAGTCCGCTCCGACAGCTTCTGGCATTTTTAAAAAGTATCCCAGGGGCACGGTAAGGGTCGGAGATGTTTAGTCTATTTAATTTCTGACTATATAAAACGATTTCTTCGGTTTTAAAGTGTGAAGTAAACTCCGACGAAGTAAAATCCAAGCCGATCCCGTTCACGTTTACGATCTGTGTTTGTTTAGCTTCTTTTACCTGCCATTTTGGCATCTACTAACTGAGAGTCACGTGGGGTCCGGAGCTCTATGTATTGACCTACAACAGATTTGTTAGATTTCCAAAATGTGTCCCCCCAATATTAAACTCATTCCTACACCCTTGTGCATAGCAACTTTGGATCAATCCATATCAATTTCAGACTTAAAATAATGTATTGATGTAAACCACACCCACTTCCGGGTTAGGCCACGCCCACTCCGAGTACAGATAAAGATAATTTAGATGGTTGAACAGATACAGATACAGGTGTACTCGCTCATCCCTAATTTGAACTATTTGAGTAAAACGGACAATTGAACCATGCTTCCGTTTTATACATTAGGTTACTTTTATTTTTTTATGTTTTTAATCCTCGTCTCCTACGTGCATCATTTTTTTCATGACAGTACTGGAACTAACACCGTTGCTATTTTTTAAACACTGGCTGTATACGGTAATGCGGTAATCCTTCCCAAGCCTACTCCTAACACCATTTTTTAGAAGGAATTAATCCTGATTTCATCAGAAAGACAGACAGTGTTCTTCACTTTTGTTTGATTGACAGCCCTCTCTTGTTTTGCTTCACAATCTTAGTTTCTAAATGCTAGGTTAAAACACAAGACGCACGTCTGTAAACAACAGGAAACTGTCTAAATTTGCTGAATGTGTGAAAAGTTATGGAAATGTTGGACTGTCATCTGATCACACTAGCAGGGCCCAATCCTGGAACTACTTGATGAACACCTGAAGAGATCTGTAGTTATATTTATGCAACTCACAAAGTACAAACCACTGGTAAAAGACAATTATTTGTACACTACACAAACTATTTAAAAGCAGAGTAGACACGCCATGCTACTCTCTCTACTGCAACGCTCCAAAACTCTGATCTAGCTGCTCATCATTGTGTAGCGATACAATCAACCAATCAATTAATCAATCAATCAATCAATCAATCAATCCTTTATTAATCCCAGAGGGAAATTAGAGTTTCAGTACACACAATTCTGAGATTAGACATACATGGGCAAGACACATGATAAAAATTGGTGACTGTGGTCATTCGCAACCTGAGTCGTGCTACCTTAATAGAGATGCATTGCGCTGCATCACAATGGAAACAGAGATATAGTGAAATAATTACAGCTTAGTGGCCACAAACTGTGACTTGCAGGACAGGGAGAGGTGGCTCATGGGCTGGAAAAAACTCTGATCTAGGACAAAAACCAGGAGTGCAACACATGGAACTAGGATGTACAAACTACAATCATTTTTGGACTTGTGTTATTACATTAGTTCCTTGTGTCCTTGTGTGGTCTCCCATGTGTCTGGTTAAACTTGTCTTTTGGGAAAACATTTGGTCACAGAGCTCACAGACAAAAGGCTTCTGTCCTGTGTGGACTCTCATGTGATTATTTAAATTTGTCTGCTGGCTAAATCTTTTTCCACAGAGCTCACAGGGAAAAGGCTTCTGTCCTGTGTGGACTCTCGTGTGACTGTTTAAAGTTGACTTACGGCAAAATCTTTTTCCACAAAGCTCACAGACAAAAGGCTTCTGTCCTGTGTGGACTCTCGTGTGACTGTTTAAAGTTGACCTTTGGCTAAATCTTTTTCCACAGAGCTCACAGAGAAAGGGTTTATGTCCTGTGTGGACTCTAATGTGTTTATATAAATCTCCCTTCATTCTAAAGCTTTTTCCACAGAGCTCACAGGGAAAAGTCCTGTGTGGACTCTCATGTGTCTGGTTAAACTTGACGTTTGAGAAAACATTTGGCCACAGAACCCACAGACATAAGGCTTCTGTCCTGTGTGGAATGTCATGTGACTGTTTAAAGATGACTTACAGCTAAATCTTTTTCCACAAAGCTCACAGACAAAAAGCTTCTGTCCTGTGTGGACTCTCGTGTGACTGTTTAAATGTGACTTCATGCTAAATCTTTGACCACAGAGCTCACATGGAAATGGCTTCTCTCCTGTGTGGACTCTCATGTGATAATTTGAAGCTGACTTTTGGCTAAATCTTTTTCCACAGAGCTCACAGACAAAAGGTTTCTGTCCTGTGTGGACTCTTATGTGTTTGTTTAAATCTCCCTTCAATCTAAATCTTTTTCCACAGAGCTCACAGGGAAAAGGCTTCTGTCCTGTGTGGACTTTAATGTGTCTGTTTAAAGTTACCTTACGGCTAAATCTTTTTCCACAAAGCTCACAGACAAACGGTTTCTGTCCTGTGTGGCCTCTCGTGTGACTGTTTAAAGATGACTTCAGGCTAAATCTTTGACCACAGAGCTCACATGGAAATGGCTTCTCACCTGTGTGGACTCTCATGTGATCATTTAAAGTTGACTTACGGCTAAATCTTTTTCCACAGAACTCACAGACAAAAGGTTTCTGTCCTGTGTGGACTCTTATGTGTTTGTTTAATTGGGATTTTACACTAAATATTTTTCCACAGTCGTCACATCTAAATGATTTTAGATCTTTCTGAACTTTCCTATCTGAGTCTAGATGTTGCTTCACTCTAACACTTTTATTATTAATCAAAAAGCCTGAAGAGCATATTGCTGAATGACTTGTAACTCTCACATGGTTCTGGAGAGACCACTTATGGGGAAATAATTTACCACACTCAGGGCAGCTAAAGGATTTGTTGACTGTCTTAACTTCTGACTGAAAAGACCTGCTCTCATTCCAGTCATTGTTGTTGTCTCCAATTTCAGACCCTGAGTTTGGCAGTTCAGAGTCTAGATTCACATCATCATCATCATCATCATCATCTCCACTAACTTCAGTCTCTGAAGAATCAGATGTTTGTTCATGAGGGTTCAGATCTGGGTTCCTGCTAGTTTCTGCTCCTCCACCAGTTTCTGCTTTAATCTGGTCAGCTGAGCGGCTGGATGGAACATCTCTGTCTTCTATTTGCTGCTGATGAAGTTGTGAGAACAGAGGCTTCTCTTCATCTTCACTTTTTATAGGAACTGCAGTGAAAATAACAGAAGTATATAAAATAAAACAGACAGTAAAGAACAGTGTAACGTAAAAAAAGGTCTATTTTTCACCATCTAATTGACACAACATAACCTTTCATGCACCTTTCATGGCAACACCATCTGGAGTCCCAAAACAACCCTTTGCTCACTTATTGTTCCTCAAAGCAGACATAAACGCTCTCACCCAAAGTCTGATGCAGGAGCCTGGCTGCTGCATTCCTCACACTAAATAAAAAGTGAACCTTATTATTATTATTATTATTAATATACTTTTTTCTGCACTTCCTTCGAAGACCTCTTGGCCAGGTCATGTTTGTAAATAAGAACATGTTTTAAACAATTTACCTGGTAACATAAAGGTTGGAAAACAAGGATGGGGGGAGGCACTGCCTCATCTGTCATCATGACAAGTAATATACTAATAATGACTAATATCAAGTAAAAGTGTCCACTGACTGGTCTATACATTAGTTTTCTGTATGATGTCATCATGTTTATGCTCAAAATCGCAGAATTTATGTTTCCTGAAAAATAAATCTGTCCTCTTCCCAAAAAGAAATAAATAATCAAAATTGAACTTTTATTAAATATTTTGTTGTTTTTCATGATATTGTTGAACAGAAGAGAATCGACCATTTTAAGCGTTACAATCAAAGGTTCTAATTAATGTCTAAATAAAAATGCTAGCTCTCTTTTGTGGCTAATATATTTGTACATATGAGACGTGCAGGTGCCTCCCCAGTCATGAGCCTGACCGCACGTCACTGAGGAGGAACTAGTTTGTTGTGAAGGCTGCTCATCATGCAGCCGTCTCTTCCAGCATTCTGAATGCCCAGTTTGCACACATTACAAGTGTCTGTTATCACTGTCCGGTTAAAATAAAACATAAAAACATGTTAGCTTTCCTGTGGAGACACGTTAGCCTCCTCGCTAACAGCTGCTGATCAACCTTCTGATTAAGGGACAGACACCTAACTCCTCTGCCACCATAACCCTAGTGATTTATACTGGAACTGTAGATAAATGTCGTAGTGAATCACCACTGTAGACCTCTGTGTCTATTAGAAATGCTCTTAGTGGTTTATTAGAGTCCAGCAGTCACTGAGCAGAAAAAAACATCTCTGTGAAAACAAATGGAAGCAAGCAGAGAGAAAAACAGGAAGTGGTTTAACTGGTAAAGTGGTCATGACTGAAGGAATGGGGTAACTGGTAGAACGGTGACAGAAAGAAGAGATGGAGCTGATTTCTGGTTTCAGGAGCCGATGTTGATGTTTTCTTGTGTTTGTGCATCACTGAAGTAGGGCTGCAACAACGAATCGATAAATTCGATGAAAATCGATTACTAAAAGCGTTGGCAACGAATTGCGTCATCGATTTGTTGTGTCGCACAACTCTTCCAAAAGCGCCCCCCCCCCCCCCCCCCCCTTCCCGCCCGCCGTTGCACGCAGACAGATCAGCGCGAGGGAGAGCCGGCAGTTGTTTGGAAGAGGAACATGGCAGAAGCAGCGAGAGTCAAAAAAGTAAAAGCTTTTTAAGTTTGGGAGCATTTTCAGTTAAATCAGGCGAAGACATGCGTTACCTGCAACGTTTAGGTCAGACTTAGCATGGCACGGGATGATGCAGCGTCTTAAACGCAAGCATGTCGGGATCATCAGCGAGGAAGGAGAGAACTCTGTGTCCGGGTAAATTAAAAACTTTTCAAAAGTGATTCATCCAAGTCCCGGATTATTACACTGGCTAGACATGCCCTAAGCTCGTAAAAAAAGTCTAAAGTCGTGAGCGCGACGCTTATTAGATGAGCGGGGGGACTCGCGCTGCTGCGAACCGGTTCCGCCCAAGGCCGGATTAACTGGGCAATTGCCCAGGGCCCACGAACTATAAAGGGCCCAGGGCACGAGCAAAATACTGTATCTATTAGGGCTGCTCAATTAATCGAATTTTAATCATGATTACGATCTGAGTTTTGAACGATTATAAAAAACAAAACAAGCCGATTATTTGCTCCTCCCACTTGCGCTGCCCTGAGTTGCAAATGAAGCGCTCCTCCAACTTGGCGACTTTGACGCTATTTCTAACAGCTTTTCAGATCACCTTCTTGACTTTTTAATTCTTAAAAGTACCCAGCGAACACCTCAGAAACATCTCTGGTAACCCTTAGCTACTTTCTGGATAACTATCGTCGACGTTTCCTGCAGGTTAGCTAAACACTCCGCCTGCGCTCCGGACCGTTCTTCAGGACATTAGGAAAGGGAATGATGTAGTGATGTGTCAGTCGCTAAAGAAACAGCTCTCGGAGCCGGCTCCTTGTTGCATTAACCAGAGTGAGTGACACACACACCGCACCTGTGGGCTCCTGAGCAGCTAAAAACGGCTAAATGTGTGCGTGCGGCGTGCTAAACACACGTGCAGCTTGCCCCGATTGCTGTGAGACTGGGTTGGGGGGTGGGGGTGCAGCTGTGGTTGGGACAATTATTACATTAACTGATGGACCTGTAAATAAATAGTTTATAAATAAGGTAGAAATAAGTTCCTCACGCTGATAACTAATAACTAATCTCTCTGAGGACACGGTGCTAGTGTACTCTCCTACAGCACCTTGACACGACTCAATAAATGTTATGCAACATTTTGTGAACATCAATTTATTTGCGTTTATTTGTTATAAATGCCGCTGTATAATTCTCGCTGTCAGTATTTGGGTCTGTACTGGTTAGACTTAAATGAGATAAACCAAGGTCTATAGCCCTTGGGTCATAGACTATGAGCTATAAGTATATTGGTCTTTTTATACTGGGAATCAGGAGTTATTTTAGTGATCATCTTGTTTCTTATTTCTTTTTGTCCTGATTGTACCCTGAGCAATTTTATGACTGAATAAAAACAAATAAGATCAACATAAATAGAAAAATCGTCCTAAATAATCGTGATCTCAATTTCAGTCACCATAATCGTGATTATTATTTTTGCCATAATCGAGCAGCCCTAGTATCTATAATTTCCCGCTTTATGAGGACTATGGTGACCGTACGTTCCGTTTTCCCCGGACGTGTCCACTTTTCACTCTCTGTCCGGCGCGTCCGGACTGCGGGTTCTTGTATTGATGAAAATGTCCGGCTTCTCATCCAGGAGCAGGGATCGAATTATGGGGGAGCTGTATATCCTACTCATCCAGGGGAGCCGGAAAAAAGTTTTCTATATTATATCATTTTTGGACTCTTTTGAGCAGAGAGCGGCACAGCGTATTGTTGCGCAGCGCTCCAGGCAGCTGCTTCCAGCGCACGGTCCATTCTCAAAGTGGCGCAACCAAAAAACTATAATTGGCACATGATCGTTCACGTCTGCACATGTTGTCTATTTTCTGTCTTATTTGTGCCTGCAGCGCTCTGCTACTGCTCTGCTCTGCTCATCACCTGTGCTGCGCGGTGCTGCGGTGATTTCACCTCACTGACGCAGCACTGAAATGCGCACTCCGCTTTGTGGTCAAGAGATCCCTTTGATCTGCACAGAAGTAACTGATGAGGTGTAAAAGTAAGAATCCAGGCAACAGTTTTTCTGGAGAGTTGAGAGGAGATGCAGGAAGATGAGAGACAGACAGGACAGGAAAATAGTTAAATAAAAACAAGAAAACAAAACAAAGTGTTGAAAAGTAAAATGTAGGTAGATTTATCTCCACTACACGTTTTTACCTGTATAAAACAATAAGTTACACACATGTAGTATTTATAAATTTGATACTATTCAGGTCACCTTCAACACTCAGTCGCACACCCAGGAACGTTTCAAGACATTTTGGGGGCCAAGGCAAAATGCCCCCCCCCCCCCCCCCCCCCCCCCCCCACACACACACACACACACATAACTGGGCTCCCCAGAAGCCTCTGTGTAATCCATACCCTCTCCAGTAGTATTAGTTATACAGTGTTTATAAAAGCCCCTCAGACATTACTGACATGTTCTAATATTATCAGATGAAAAACTAAATTATCAGACATGCTGTCTCATCTGCTTCTTTTCTAAACTTGCAGAAAGTAACAAAACCATTTGAAAGCCACTATTTGTGGATTCTCTGAAAGTTTCCATGGAGTGTGTGACAACTTATTTTTTCAGTCATTTTTGGAAATAGTAATCAATTTTGATTAATTCACAGCCTATGTTTAATTACATTTAAAAATTAGTTGTTTGACATCCCCAGTTATAATAAAAGTCTACAGATGAGATCAAACAAAACAGATGAGAATTGCCCTTAAGCTGTTTAACTTGGACCAAGCATTTTAGGTCACAGATAGATGTAGCTTAGGGTCTCTGTCTATACACCTTATAAGACAATTTAGGTGATGGCATGTTGTTTTTCTGCTATTGAACTGTTTTCTAATAATGTTGTGTTAAATAAAGTGAAGGAAGGAGAGAAATAACGTTTCTCTAGCAGTTTTTAAAAATTTCCCCATGTAATCCGATTAATCGATTAATCGTGTCGAGACCCCATCCGATTCATCGATTATCCAAATAATCGTTTGTTGCAGCCCTACACTGAAGTCTGTCTGCAGAGACCATCTGTACAGAGATGCTGGATTATGGATGTGGGAGTGCTGATGGTTTGGTGTGCACCAGTACCTGTGTCCATGCTGTCCAGGTCCAGGTGGTGAAGAACACACGATGAATCAGTCCCAGATCCTGAAGTGGTAGCAGGTTTTCTTTAGCCGTGTTTAGCTAACAGCTGCAATAGAAACAAAGCAGGAGAGCTGATTAGGATTCGGGGCTTTTCCGTCGGAGAGTGTGAGCAGGATGGATCAGAGAGCGAGCAGCGATCCTGCATCATGACCAACTCAGATGAGCGAGTCTGATAGAGGGAACCTCTTCAATCTGATGAAAGCAGCAAAACGAGCGCGTTTCTCAGAGAGGCCAAAGGAACAGCAGCAGATCCAGAGGGCAGGAAGTCTAGAGAAAAGCTTTTCTCACCCACAACCTGATTCTGGAGCTCCGATTGTCACGAAGACCGCAGAATATCTTCTCCGGTTCTGGAAAGAACTCCACCAAGTTGTTGAGGAGGAGAAGAAAGTTTCCACAGCCTGGTGAGAAGATTTCTGCAGCAGCAGCAGTTAGTCGCTTTAGCTGATCAACTCTCCCAGAGACTGAAGTGAAGACATTTTTACTGCAGAGCCTCAAATATTCTCCTCACACACCAGAACAACAACAAGCTAGCTCTGCTAGCAGCTTTCGGTTTCTGCTTTCTCGGGTGGTCGGTGACCAGCGTAAAGGTACACTAGCGCCACCTGCTGGAGCAGAATAAAACACCTGTGTGTTCAGAATGGGACTAATAAAACACACATTTTTATTATTGTTTAACAGTTTCTTCAAAAGCCCTGACAAGCGTAAGAGTAAATAAATGTTGTGTTTGTGATGTTCTATCAACTCATTGTGACCAATTTTATTTTTCTCTTGATTTCTTGACCTATAAACAAACCGAGAAGTATTTTCAGAAAAACATTTTCTGTAAAGAATGTGGGAGAAACCTTTGATGTTTGTATTTCTGAAGCCGCTCTGAGAAGAAAACAAAAAGTGTTGTGAAGGTGCTGATTTAGAAATTGTCTCATGTAATGCTTGGTGCGGCCACCAGACGCTCTTGTTTTCTTCACTCACTGAGGTCTGATGGGCAAAAATACAGTTTACTAAATGTAATATTCTATGTATAATAGACATATATATACACTCACCTACAGGACTATTAGGAACACCATACTAATACGGTGTTTGAGCCCCTTTTACCTTCAGAACTGCCTTAAATCTACGTGGCATTGATTCAACAAGGTGCTGAAAGCATTCTTCAGAAATGTTGCCTCACATTGATAGGATAGCTTCTTGTAGTTGGAGATTTGTGGGATGGAGCCATGTGTGGTGTTGTGGGATTTGATCAGAGACTTAAAGAGAAAACACTTCTGCATTCAGCCAGCAAAGTTTAAGTTTTATTACAAGAAGAAGAAACAAATAATGAAGCATAAACATCATTGCTAAGATCTAGAACAACACTTAGTAGCAAAGTCAACTGTAATCTATGTGAAACAAACACATCTCATTAAAATAAAGGATAGAAAATAAAAATAGGTAAAATCAACGATTAAAAGAAATCTCCACCATCCTGTAACTGCTGCTTTACCCAGAAGGACAACAGAACACACTCATAACACCTGAATGATGGAGGACACTAACAGGTCTGCAGAGAACATTTAATGTTCAAATGATTCAAAAATGAAACCATCATAACAGCCCTAGACAGATGAAGACACGAGACATTCTGTATGAAAGACCATCATGTCTTCAAGCAACTCAAAGAAGTCCAGACGCTTTTCTTTCAAAGCTCATTAGACTACAATGACCTGGATGACTGAGAACCTTCACAGACATTTCACACATAAGAGTTCTCCAGGAACTGAAAAGGAAAAACTCAATACCTGGAGTCCTTAAATGATGTTATGGACGTAGCTTCTCCCTTAACCTAAGCCAAGGTGCTCCTGTGGACTATGGAGATGTCCCAATGATCCGAAAATTAAATTATGACACATCTCACCTTTATGTTAATATTGTTTTATTTGATGCACTCCACTTTGAACTGCACCAGTCCAGCAACTGCTGCATTTTAATAACTAGTATTAAAGGTGAATACACCAATATTTGCACAAGAATAATTTTTGTTTTAAACTCTCAGTGACACACGTTGCAGGGGGATTTGGCATTTCATTTGTCTTGGCGTCTGGAAAAACATCTCCTTTTGCCCCCCTTTATTTGACTTTCTGCCCCCTTTATTTTGGTCCAAGGTCATTACTGGGCTGGCCCTATTAAACACGTTCTACACCCCTGCTTAGTAGACTTAATGAAGTATTTTTAAGCCAGAATAAAAATGACTGAACAACACAAATTTACATATTTGGCATTATTGACCAATATCTTTGATTTTTATTGTTAAGAACATCAAGATGCATTACTGTGAACATTATAATAAAAGTACATTTTTCTAGTGCAGAGAGGAGACAACCCATAGAAGCACTGATTTGATCTCATTTCAGAGAAAAATAGAACAGATCAGATGCATCTAATAAATAAAATTACTAACAAACTCAGGAATCTTTCTTTGCTTCATTGTTCTGGTGCTGAAAATATCATTAATGCGGATCAAAGGAGAAACACAGATGAATGCACCTTATTATTAGGAAATTAGTGGGTGTGGTTTACATCAATACATTATTTTAAATCTGAAATTGATATGGATTGATCAGAAGTTGCCATTTGTATTGTTTATTTGAAAACTATTTATAGAGCAGCCTCAGAATTGAGATTGAATATTTTTGATTACAATAGTAAAGGAACTATTACAGAACAAGTTTTTCAGTAAAATCAGAACATTCATATTTAATTGCATGAATTAATACATCTGAACTAGGAAATATGAAATACTAGAACCATTTTATTTATTTATTTATTTATTTATTTATTTATTTTATTATCTTTATTTCATTCAATAAAAAAAACACAACAGATACTAAACAATATTCATAAAAACACAATATATATTTGAATGAAAGGGAGCAGATAGAAGAAAAATCTTATTATTTCTGCCCCCTTTTTAAACTTAAATATCAATTTATATTTGTGCAGTCCCTCACCAGTTCTTTCAGTCCCGTAACTGTTCACATTTGTTAATTATTATGTCCACATCAATTGTCCGTTGTCATATCCACTCAACACACGTGATTTAATGTGTAGACTGAACACTTTTAGAGTTCTTGACTCTTTCCATTCTCTGTCCAGGCAATTCCACAACTTCACACCATTCACAGATATACTCATTTCCTTCATTCTTGTTCTAAATCTAGGTTTTTTGAAGATTTCAAATCCCTTCAACGAATAACTGCTATCTCTCTTTTCAAATATATGCTGAATATTCTTTGGCAATGTACCTTTATTTGCTTTATGCATTATATGCAATATTCTCCAGTTGACCAAATCATGAAATTTAATTACTTTATATTTTATAAATAATGGATTAGATGGAGCTGTACTATGAGTGTTGTCTATAATTCTCATTGCTCTTTTCTGCTAAACAAACAAAGGTTGTGTATACGTTCTATATGCAGTTCCCCAGATTTCTACACAGTAATTTAAGTATGGCAGAATCAGTGCATTGTATAGTAATAACAATCCTTCACTATTTAGTAAAAACTTTACGCTATATAATACTGCAATGGCTTTGGCCACTTTACCTTTTATATAGCCTATATGTGATTTCCAGCTTAGAGCTTCATCAATCATTACTCCCAAAAATTTGATTTATTTTACCCTTTGAATTTCCATGTTATCTATTTCTAATATTACGTCTATATTTTCTTTGTCATTAAATAGAATGAAATTAGTTTTTTTAAGATTAAGTGCTAATTTATTTATATCAAACCAATTTTTAACTTTTATCAGTTCAATATTTATCACATGAGTTACTTCATTTATATCAGACCCTGAATAAAACAATGTTGTATCATCTGCAAACAAAACAGAACCTAGTTTGTCAGACACATTTACCAAATCATTGATATACAGGTTGAACAATTTTGGTCCAAGGACTGACCCTTGTGGCACTCCATAAGCAATATTTCGTAGCTCTGATGTAATGCCATTTATCTGAACATATTGCTTTCTGTTATCTAAATAACTTCTAACCCATTGATGAGCAACCCCTCGTATTCCATACTGATATAATTTTTGCAGTAACCTTGAATGATCGATAACGTCAAAAGCTTTCTTTAAGTCAATAAAAACACTAATAAAGTATTCTCTATTGTCTATTGCTTCAGATATTTTCTCTGTTAAATCCATTATTGCCATTGTTGTTGAATGTTGGGTCCTGAATCCATACTGTTCATTATGTAAAATCATATTTTTTCAATAAATTTATCCAACCGTGATGCAAAGACTTTTTCTAGTATTTTGGAAAACTGTGGAAGTAGTGACACTGGCCTATAATTTGTGAAATTATGTTTATCACCATTATTAAACAGTGGAACCACTTTTGCTATTTTCATTGCATCAGGGAAGACTATTGCAATCACACTTAATTTATTTTCGAGTTTACTGAAATAATCTTGTATTATTTGTAATTTACCAAACAAACTTCTACTGTTGATGTGGATAATTGATAGCCTATCTCCTGTGATTATCTCACTGTTCAATTTTTCATCTTCATAATAATCACAATTTATGTTTAAATCAAAAAAGCTTTCATCTATCTTATTATCAATGTCATATATTTTTTCCTCTGTGTCCATGTAAACTAATTTATTTCCTAATTTTTTACTATTCAGTAGCCCTACTGGTAGCCTGCAAGTTCTTCATAATTTTTATTTTCTTTAATTTATCAGTATTTCTTATCCATATTATTCACTTGTATCTTTCTAGTTCTGCTATTTCTTTGATAACCAAAATCTTTGCCTGCTTTGATTAAACTGATTTTTTCCTAACGTTGTTGGCATTTTTCCCACACACAGTTAAAACAATGTTGATTGAGGTGTGTGTGTGTGTGTGAGTGAGTGAGTGAGTGAGAGAGAGAGAGAGTGAGAGAGAGAGAGAGAGAGAGAGAGAGAGAGGGGGGGGGGGGGGGGGGGAAGAGTTAAAATAATAATAATAATAAAAAAAAAAACAGACCGGAGTGGAAGCAGTGACCGACGCATGCACGAGCCGCTTTCAGCTCTGTCTTGTCAAATGCACCACGTACGTTACGAAAAAAGTAACTTTAAATATTAAACCGAAAAAGAGGCGAGCTGAAGAAAACCTAGGGAGTACTGAAGAAACGTGAGCAACAGTGAAGCAAGCACAGAGAGATCCGTTCCTGTCTGTGTGTGTGTGCGTGGATGGGCCGGACGCGAACTGAGCTCCCGGCTGCAGTTCTGTGTGTAGGGAGGGGCGGGCGCTCTATGTGACTGGCCAATCACAGAGCGTGAAGACAGTCAGTTACCCAATGAGGATTTTCCTTCAGCACGATTACAGATATTTACGAGTTTTACTCGTTTCATGCTCGTATTCGTCAAAAATGCTTTATCCGTACCGGATACGCGCCTGAAATGAGTACCCGGCTCATCCCTAGCGGTAACCACCCTACCCTGCCTCCTCCTCCTTGCTGCCTGCCGGCTGTGATCACGAGCAACAAAAGAGTAGTTCCCGCTGCTTCTTTGGGAAACGGTGTAAGAAAAAAACATCAATAAAACTTGGGATCTTGTAGGCGTGGTGCTGGGATTTCAGCCGTGGCGGGCCGCCACGGCTACGCCTATGTAAGGGAAACACTGAGTGACTCCAGGCTGTTGTAAGTAGCCTTAAAGCAGAGGAAGTGTCAGAATTATATTAGCAGCCAAATCACAGCCAAGTATCACCGGGACTAATGTAAAAATGATGACGTAAGCAACAAGTGGAACTACCAAATTGTTGGTTTGGACCTTTACCGTTGTAAGAGGGATGTTGGTTTTAAGCTTAATATATTACCTTTACTTATGTTTTGTTGACAGTATGTTATCCTGTGCAAACCTGCAGAGGCCTGGACTTCAGCTGATAGAATAGCAGAATCCAGCAGATTAAAGGCACTAGATGTAGACTTGTGTCTCCCCATGATCGGATACTGAAGAGGTCAAACTGTACATGAAAAACTGACCATTTCTGGACGCTACACCATTCAAAAACGGAATAACAAACACTATTACTAAAATAATAACACACATATTAACTAATAAAAACACAGGTTATAAAAAGACTTTTCACCTGAAAAACCAGCATGGTAACCTTTTCTGGCAACAACATAGGATGTTGAGGACAGACTGCTGAAACCCCGTTTCAATGAGCTTGTGGCACAGACACACTGTTACTTTAGGGCTAGTGGCGACCATCGACATATATACTGGACAATTCATTTCCATAGGCTCCAATAACACGTTTCTGTGCCAAAATGGGAGGTGGCCACCACCGCCATTTTGACCGTATCACAGGTTCCGTCAAGCCCAGACAATTCCACAAAAGGGAAAAGAGGTGGAGCAGAGGGTGGGGCTGTAAGGCTGGGATCAACTGACGAAACCCGGTCGAACTAGCTACAAGCTAACCTGAAGCTAACCCAAAGCTAACGCGGAGGTGGGAGCTAAGCTAACGGAGGTAGCAACCTAGCTACAACCGGAGATAACTGTGCACAACACCAGAGCTTCTGAGTCAGAGATACGCCGGGCTGACCGCTGGGTAAAACCGGGTGATGGCTTATAGAGCGGAGCTATATGAAATAGGCTTGGCTCGTTTTTTTTTTTCCTCTTTCTCTCCTCTTCCTCAGGATCCGCTGATTTCCCACTTTCCTTTTCACTCTCTCTCATTCTTTACATTTTTTACTCACAATTGTCTAATTTTTGCTCATTTTAAATATATTTGAATCATTTTCTAAATTCTTTTTTATATTTTGACATTTTTTGTTATTGTGAAGCACCTCGTGATTATAGAAAAGATCTTGTCCTCCCTCTCTCTCTCTCTCTCTCTGTCTATGTATTAATTCATGCACTTGAATATTAATGTTCTGATTTTATTGAAAAACTTGTTCTGTAATAGTTCATTTACTATTGTGATCAAAAACATTTAATCTCAACTCTTGAGGCTGCTCTGTAAATAGTTTTCAAATAAACATTACACATAGCAACTTCTGATCAATTCATATCAATTTCAGACTTAAAATAATGTATTGATGTAAACCACACCCACTTCGATCTTAGGCCACGCCCACTCCGAGTAAAGATAAAGATAATTTAGATGGTTGAACAGATACAGATACAGGCGTACTCGCTCATCCCTAATTTGAACTATTTGAGTAAAACTGACAATTGAACCATGCTTCCGTTTTATACATTAGGTTACTTTTAATTTTTTATTATTTTAATCCTCGTCTCCTACGTGCATCATTTTTTTCATGAAAGTATTGGAACTAACACTGTTGCTATTTTTTAACACTGGCCGTATACGGTAATTCGGTAATCCTGCCCAAGCCTACTCCTAACACCATTTTTTTAGAAGGAATTAATCCTGATTTCATCAGAAAGACAGACAGTGTTCTTCACTTTTGTTTGATTGACAGCCCTCACTTCTTTTGCTTCACAATCATAGTTTCTAAATGCTAGGCTCAAACACAAGACCCACGTCTGTAAACAACAGGAAACCGTCTAAATTTGCAGAATGTGTGAAAAGTAATGGAAATGTTGGACTGTCATCTGATCACACTAGCAGGGCCCAATCCTGGAACACTGGATGAACACCTGAAGAGATCTGTAGTTATATTTTTGCAACTCACAAAGTGCAAACCACTGGTAAAAGACAATTATTTGTACACTACACAAACTATTTAAAAGCAGAGTAGACACACCATGCTACTCTCTACTGCAACGCTCCAAAACTCTGATCTAGCTGCTCATCATTGTGTAACGATACTGTGCTGCATCACAATGGAAACAGAGATTTAGTGAAATAATTACAGCTTAGTGGCCACAAAATGTGGCTTGCAGGACAGGGAGAGGTGGCTCATGGGCTGGAAGAAACTCTGATCTAGGACAACTTGGGGTGCAACACATGGAAATAGGATGTACAAACTACAATCATTTTTAGACTTGTGTTATTACATTTGTTCCTTGTGACCTTGTGTGGTCTCCCATGTGTCTGGTTAAACTTGTCTTTTGGGAAAACATTTGGTCACAGAGCTCACAGGGAAAAGGCTTCTGTCCTGTGTGGACTCTAATGTGATTATTTAAACTTGTCAGTTGGCTAAATCTTTTTCCACAGAGCTCACAGGGAAAAGGCTTCTGTCCTGTGTGGACTCTCATGTGACTGTTTAAAGTTGACTTCAGGCTAAATCTTTGACCACAGAGCTCACATGGAAATGGCTTCTCTCCTGTGTGGACTCTCAGGTGTCTGTCTAAAGTTGACTTACGGCTAAATCTTTTCCCACAAAGCTCACAGACAAAAGGCTTTTGTTCTGTGTGGACTCTTAAGTGTTTGTTTAAATCTCCCTTCAATCTAAAGCTTTTTCCACAGAGCTCACAGACAAAAGGCTTCTCTCCTGTGTGGCGTTTCAAGTGAATGTTCAATCTTGACTTCAGGCAAAATCTTTGTGCACAGAGCTCACAAGCAAATGGCTTCTCTCCTGTGTGGATGCTCATGTGATCATTTAAAGTTGACTTACGGCTAAATCTTTTTCCACAGAGCTCGCAGACAAAAGGTTTCTGTCCTGTGTGGCGTTTCAAGTGAATGTTCAATCTTGACTTCAGGCAAAAACTTTGTGTACAGAGCTCACAAGCAAAAGGCTTCTGTCCTGTGTGGACTGTCATGTGACTGTTTAAAGTTGACTTAAAGCTAAATCTTTTCCCACAAAGCTCACAGACAAAAGGTTTCTGTCCTGTGTGGGCTCTTTTGTGTTTGTTTAAATCTCCCTTCAATCCAAAGCTTTTTCCACAGAGCTCACAGACGAAAGGCTTCTGTCCTGTGTGGCGTTTCAAGTGAATGTTCAATCTTGACTTCAGGCAAAATCTTTGTGCACAGAGCTCACATGCAAAAGGCTTCTCTCCTGTGTGGACGCTCATGTGATCATTTAAAGTTGACTTACGGCTAAATCTTTTTCCACAGAGCTCACAGACAAAAGGTTTCTGTCCTGTGTGGACTCTTATGTGTTTGTTTAAATCTCTCTTCAATCTAAAGATTTTTCCACAGAACTCACAGGCAAAAGGTTTCTGTCCTGTGTGGACTTTCATGTGTCCTCTTAAATTTCCCTTCCATCTAAAGCTTTTTCCACAGATCTCACAGGCAAAAGGTTTCTGTCCTGTGTGCACTCTCATGTGTTTGTTTAATTGGGATTTTACACTAAATATTTTTCCACAGTCGTCACATCTAAATGATTTTAGATCTTTCTGAACTTTCCTATCTGAGTCTAGATGTTGCTTCACTCTAACACTTTTATTATTAATCAAAAAACCTGAAGAGCATATTGCTGAATGACTTGTCACTCGCACATGTTTCTGGAGAGACCGCTTATGGGGAAATAATTTACCACACTCAGGGCAGCTAAAGGATTTGTTGACTGTCTTAACTTCTGACTGAAAAGACCTGCTCTCATTCCAGCCATTGTTTTTGTCTCCAATTTCAAACCCTGAGTTTGGCAGTTCAGAGTCTAGATTCACATAATCACCATCATCATCATCATCATCATCTCCACTAACTTCAGTCTCTGAAGAATCAGATGTTTGTTCATGAGGGTTCAGATCTGGGTTCCTGCTAGTTTCTTCTCCTCCACCAGTTTCTGCTTTAATCTGGTCAGCTGAGCAGCAGGTTGGAACATCTCTGTCTTCTATTTGCTGCTGATGAAGTTGTGAGAACAGAGGCTTCTCTTCATCTTCCATTTTTATAGGAACTGCAGTGAAAATAACAGAAGTATATAAAATAAAACAGGCAGTAAAGAACAGTGTAACATACAAAAAGGTCTATTTTTCACCATCTAATTGACACAACATAACCTTTCATGCACCTTTCATGGCAACACCACCTGGAGTCCCAAAACAACCCTTTGCTCACTTATTGTTCCTCAAAGCAGACATAAACACTCTCACCCAAAGAACATTATTATTATTAGTAGTATTATTATTAATATACTTTTTTTGCACTTCCTTCTAAGACCTCTTGGCCAGGTCATGTTTGAAAATGAGAACATGTTCTTAAACATTTTACCTGGTAAAATAAAGGTTGGAAAAAAGACGGGGGAGGCACTGCCTCCTCTGTCGTCATGACAGGTAAAATACTAATAATGACTAATATCAAGTAAAAGTGTCCAATGACTGGTCTATACATTAGTTTTCTGTATGATGTCATCATGTTTATGGTCAAAATCGCAGAATTTATGCTTCCTGAAAAATAAATCTGCCCTCTTCCCAAAAAGAAATAAATAATCAAAATTGACCTTTTATTAAATTTTTTTTTTTGTTTTCCATGATATTGAAGAGAAGAGAATCGACCATTTTAAGCATTACAATCAAAGGTTCTAATTAATGTCTAAATAAAAATGCTAGCTCTCTTTTGTGGCTAATATATTTGTACATATGAGACGTGCAGGTGCCTCCCCAGTCATGAGCCTGAACGCACGCCACTGAGGAGGAACTAGTTTGTTGTGAAGGCTGCTCATCATGCAGCTGTCTCTTCCAGCATTCTGAATGCCCAGTTTGCACACATTACAAGTGTCTGTTATCACTGTCCGGTTAAAATAAAACATAAAAACATGTTAGCTTTCCTGTGGAGACACGTTAGCCTCCTCGCTAACAGCTGCTGATCAGCCTTCTGATTAAGGGACAGACACCTAACTCCTCTGCCACCATAACCCTAGTGATTTATACTGGAACTGTAGATAAATGTCGTAGTGAATCACCACTGTAGACCTCTGTGTCTATTAGAAACACTCTCAGTGGTTTATTAGAGTCCAGCAGTCACTGAGCAGAAAAACAACCATCTCTGTGAAAACAAATGGAAGCAAGCAGAGAGAAAAGCAGGAAGTGGTTTAACTGGTAAAGTGGTCATGACTGAAGGAATGAGGTAACTGGTAGAACGCTGACAGAAAGAATAGATGGAGCTGATTTCTGATTTCAGGAGCCGATGTTGATGTTTTCTTGTGTTTGTGCAACACTGAAGTATTGTATTGTATTGTATTTATTTTTCCATCATAACAAATACATATAAAACACATGAAAACAAAAATAATTATCTAATAAAGAACATAATATTAATTATCACAGGTACAAATTCCTCTTGTAAATTAAACAGTTGCTTTAGATATAATTTATGAACAAAAAGGTATAGGCTGAAGTTAAAGTTATTTAAGCCTACCCATTAATTCATTACAAAAAATCAACATTGTCATAAATATCAAAAGTAAATAAACATATAAACAATACAGTTATTACATGCATCATCCTAATTTCAACAAAATCAGTCAAGAGGTATAAACGTGTGACAAAACTAATTTTGGTGCACTTGGTAATTGCGTAAGGCGTTATTTTTAAAACTCTTTGAATATTTTCAACGAGCATGATTTTTTTAATATATCCTCGAGGCTATTCCATAAACTCACTCCTCTTACTGAAATACATCTTTGTTTTTTATTGGTTCTAATATTCTTTTTTTTTAAATCCCAATTCCTCTTAGACTATATCCTCCTTCCCTTTGTTCAAACATCCTTTGGAGATAAGGTGGAAGTTGAGCCTGATATGCCTGATATAGACCCTTTTACTGTTTGTAAACAATATGACGTCAGCGAGAATGCGCGCGCAGCTTGGCAACAGAGAATGGTGTTGTTTCAGGCTTTATCAAGCTACGCTGCAGGGTTATCACCGGCAAATCTTGAATGTTATATTATTAAACTCACTTTAACGAATGGCAACAGACTCCCGGATCCCTGTGGCATTACGGAATGGGTGGAAGATGTAGGTGCGTGGCCAGATATCCAGTGGCCCGATATATATACGTTTTTAGTGGAGAGGCCCAGTAAGTACACACGTGAGAAGCTACGGGCGTACAAATACATCTGTGATGGGAAGGTGTAAACACTACCTGTCCATCTTTGCATGGGGGTTTGGACTTCGCTTTGTGTACGTAAACACAGAAGGCACAAAATCAGGACTCGAGGAGTCCAATGACACCTCGCCTGTAAATAAATAGACAGCCTAAAAGCAAACCAGCAAACGCAACTTACTTTATTTAATAGAACACACGTTAACCAGCTTTCTGGTGTAATCTTAGTACATAATTACCCTACCTGATATAAAATGGGCGCTACAAAGTCGAGCAATTCGGATCGTGTTTTCAGTCCAGTTTTCATCAACCCTTTTGATGGCCTGCAACCACAGACGCCTCCGATTTTGTTGAAATGGATGTTCTCCCTTCGGAATTCTGTAACGTTTCAGTCCACTGCTTGAAGAGAAGCGATTCTGGCATCCATACACGCAACAACCCGACATTTTTATGTGCTCAGAACTTCAAAACAAAGGGTTTAAAACGCTGTTTTAGTGTTGAGTGTGAATGAGGAAGCCTTCACTCTCGTTGCCAGGCTGCGAGCGCAACTTTTGATGACGTAGGTAGTAAAAGGGTCTATACTACAGCCAGTGTATGCAGGTCAATAATTTCGTAAAATTTTGAAATTTTTAAAAGGATAAAGATAGGATTTGTTGGAGCAAAATAGTTAGCATGGGAAATTATTCAAGCCCAGCCCTAGTGTAACCTATTATAAATAATTTTGTCTCGTTACCATCTTTTCATTTTCTGTTCATGTAACATGTTCAAAAACATCTAATAAAACTGGTGATAAAATCAATGACCAGAAAGAGTTATCAGTTAGTATTTGTTTTAATAAATGTGTTCAAATATCAAACAGCTAAATAACATCAACATGATGACAGTAGAAGGCCTCTCTCCCAGGATGACCAACAGGTAAAGCCTCTCCTGACCCTGGACACCTGCAGTCCTACAGAGAAAATCAGAGACCACAGGTGACAAAAAGGTAATAAACACATTTTTACATTTATCCACATGAGAAGATAAAAATTATATTCTTCACACAAACTTTTTACTTCATTAAAACGTGTCAGCTGTGTAAATCCCTGAATGTAAAACTACTTTTCACAGAAGAACTTCTGTGGTTGTGTGTAAACAGCTTCACTCTTCACCTCTAAGCTTAATAAAAACGCTTCTTTGCTCCGTTGTCCTTAAAACAAATGACAGTTTAATTTGCCACACACACACACACACACACACACACACACACACACACACACACACACACACACACACACACACACACACACACACACACACACACACACACACACACACACACGGGAATAACTGGGACCCGCGAAACAAACGCGTTCTGGCTGATTTCTGCCTAAAATGTATTTTAAAAACAAATATACAAACGAAAAATGTCTATAAACTGCACCGCTTTAAGCTTTTTAGGTTTCTACGGCTAGTTTTTAACAAACTTACGTTTAGAACTTCGTAGCTCTCCCCATTTTCTCTTCCTGTTGAAAATCCACAGCCGGAGCGAGGACACGATTGAGGACGCGAGAATGAGTATTCTTGGAACTCAGACAGTACTCGTCGCTGCGCTGTGATGTCATCGATCTCAAAATGCACTCTTACAAGCATCCTTCCCATGGATTTGCAACGTGTGGATCACTGGTAATGTTCATGTTTGTAAAAATGCGTTACGCAGAACAACTTCCGGTTCAAAAGGCTAACGGATCCATCATCCAATCAGTGATGCCTGTTGTTGCAGCATTGGTACCTACCTCTTCCGGTTTCTTTTTTGTTTTTGCGCTTTTCAATTTGTTGTTGCGTTTTAGTGATTTGTTTTTGTGGTTTGCACTTCAGGGCCACCGTAATGGAGACACCCAAGGTGTATTTATTTTCTTCCACTGCAGTTGTGATATCTTCAGTTAAGGCCATTACTGCCACCAGAGTGGATCTGTTTGATCGAAAACCAAACTGTTGCTCATTCAACAAATTGAACTTTTTAACAAAATCATCAAGTCTAGTGACAAACAATTTTTCTAAAATTTTAGAAAATTGTGAGAGAAGCGAAATCGGTCTATAATTTATGAATAAGTGTTTACTTGCATTTTTATAAATAGGGATTACTTTTGCTGTTTTCATTTTACTTGGAAAAACCAGTACAGAATGACAGATTGCAGATATATGTAAGGGGTGTGACAATGTGATTGATAATTTCCTTTACTAACCTCATATCTAAATTACTGCAATCAGTTGAACTTTTGTTTTCAAATTTATTGACAATATTTATTATTTCAGTGTCTTCTACACCCCTTAAAAATAGCGAACTGGGGTTACAATTAGATATGGACTCAGTAATATTTTTTTCATTTTTACTTATAGGTGCTTTGATAGCACCAGCTAATAATGGTCCAACCTCAACAAAATAACGATTGAAACCATTGGCAATTTCCTTGATATCAGTTATTTCATGATCTTCTTTGATGAAATAGCTTGGGAGTGCATTAACTCTTTTCCATTCCTAATTATACCGTTTAATATTTTCCACATTCCTCGTGTATTATTCTGGTGTTGTTCTAATAATTTATGATAATCTTTTTTTATTCATGCGTATTATATTTATTAATTTATTTTTATATGTCTTATCTTTCGTCAGCACTTTTAGTTCTTTGTTTTAAACATATTCTGTAAAGATGATTTTTCTTCTTACAAACATTAACTATGCCATATGTTATCCAGGGCTTTTTTATTTTAATTTTATTTTCAGTAATATATAAATTCAGTGGGCAGTGTTTATCATAGAGTTTGATTACTTTGGATAAGAAGGCATCATTTGCTAGGTTGGGGTCCTCAGTACAAAAAACATCATCCCACGTCTGAGCAGAAAGATCTGCCCTGTATGCAGCCAGGGCTTCGGGTGTTCTATGTCGAACCAATTTCTGTGTAATCGTTTCAGGATTTTGAGCATAATGTACTATTTGATGAAAAACACTAAATACCGGTAGATGGTCACTTATATCATTAACTAGTAATCCCGCTGTAATTTGTCTAGATATCTCATTAGTGAATACATTGTCGATCAAAGCTAGCCTAGTGAACTAGACCAAATTCTTGCTTTGCAAAGTTTGGTCTAGGCATGCTCCATTGGAACCTCAGCAGCTCCTACCAGGACTCTGGCTAGCCAATCACAGCTCTCTAGAGGGGTTTCAAACACATAAAGAGCTGTGATTGGTCCATAATGGTGGGCCAATCATAGTGCTCTATCTGCTTAGTGAACAAATCACAGAGCTTTATCCGCTTTGTGGGCCAATCAGGGCACTCTATATGCCTGGTGGGTGGGATGATGCAACAGAGTGAAACAAGAGTAAAGCCTGATTTATGCTTCTCCGTCTGCGTCAGTGCGGAGACACGCAACGCCACTATCCGTCCTTGCGTAGGGATCCGGCAGGCACGCAAGTACGTACGGAGTCGAGCCCACTTTTTTAAACATCCGTCGAACGAGACGGATTACGCAAGCTTGTGAATGGTCAGGACGCCGCTGTTGTCTACAGCGCCGCCAATGCAAAGAGAGCCGAGGATAACTAGCGGCAGACACGGAGAAGCTTGAAGAATACCTCGCGAAAAAACTCTAAAAATATGAACGTTTCATCCTGCCGTGACTGGAGGAGTGAAAAGATGTGCAGCAAGCGTTTTATTTGTGGACGGAAATGACAGGAAACGTGGATTTAGAGGTGGGGAGCGCATGAAGAGGTGGAAGAATGAGAGACAAATATGTCCGTGTTAAAAGTCTCTTGAATACACAAAAAACATAATATAAACACACGATCTTGGACCGATACATGACAGGATACCACAGAACAGCGCTACGCCCTCTGTTGTCCTGCCGGGCAATTGCTTTGCAACACTCCCCAGGAGACGGAGAAGTACGAGAGCAAAACGCTTCCGTCAATCCGTGCGTGTCTGTCCCTTGCAGAGCTGATGGAGAAGCATAAACCAGGCTTAAGTCACATTCATTGTCCAGTGGAATGTGGAGATCATTTGAAAGACAACGGTAGAACCCGCCCCACAACCGAGAGCCGTCAATGGAGCGTGGCCAGACTAAATAATACATCTATTTAGTCTGGCTTGCCAGCAGTTGTAGTTGTAATTCGAGTAGGTTTAAGGATAAGTGGGAGCAGGTTATTACTGTACATTGTAATAAAATTACATATTTGTAAGTTATCATGAGGGTTAAGAAGGTCAATGTTAAAGTCACCACATACAATATGAACCTTGTTTAAATTTACAAACAAGCTACCGACTTCCTGATTAAAAGTATTTAGACAGGATCCAGGTGTTCTATAAGTCTGTCTGCAGAGACCATCTGTACAGAGATGCTGGATTATGGATGTGGGAGTGCTGATGGTCTGGTGTGCACCAGTACCTGTGTCCATGCTGTCCAGGTCCAGGTGGTGAAGAACACACGATGAATCAGTCCCAGATCCTGAAGTGGTAGCAGGTTTTCTTTAGCCGTGTTTAGCTAACAGCTGCAATAGAAACAAAGCAGGAGAGCTGATTAAGATGCTGCTTCAGAACAACGCAGGAGATTAAAGATCCAACGCTTTGGTTCTGATCAGCTGAGGACAGATCCAGTCTGGAAAAGAGGACCTTTGCTCACCAGAGTTCACGGAGTAGAGCTAACCGCTTTTTCCTCCAGATTCACATTCAGATTCGGGGCGTTTCCGTCGGAGAGTGTGAGCAGGATGTTTCAGAGAGCGAGCAGCGATCCTGCATCATGACCAACTCAGATGAGCGAGTCTGATAGAGGGAACCTCTTCAATCTGATGAAAGCAGCAAAACGAGCGCGTTTCTCAGAGAGGCCAAAGGAACAGCAGCAGATCCAGAGGGCAGGAAGTCTAGAGAAAAGCTTTTCTCACCCACAACCTGATTCTGGAGCTCCGATTGTCACGAAGACCGCAGAATATCTTCTCCGGTTCTGGAAAGAACTCCACCAAGTTGTTGAGGAGGAGAAGAAAGTTTCCACAGCCTGGTGAGAAGATTTCTGCAGCAGCAGCAGTTAGTCGCTTTAGCTGATGAACTCTCCCAGAGACTGAAGTGAAGACATTTTTACTGCAGAGCCTCAAATATTCTCCTCACACACCAGAACAACAACAAGCTAGCTCTGCTAGCAACTTTCGGTTTCTGCTTCTTCTGCTGGTCAGTGCCCAGCGTAAAGGTGCACTATCGCCACCTGCTGGAGCAGAATAAAACACTATTGGTGGTATGTGTGCCTGAAGAAGCGTTTCAGCACATTACCAGCGTTGGGCAAGTTACTTCAAAACTGTAATGCATTATTTATTACTTGTTACCCTCATTTTAAAGTAATTAATTACATTACAATATTACTGATTTTAAAATGTAAGGTATTACACTACTTTTGCATTACTTGAAGTAACTTTCACCAAAACAACTTCAATATGAATCTGGTAACCTGATGCTCAGTGAGCTCATGACATATATGTGGAAAGTGATGTGGTGTCTGAGCTAGGATTGCTGTTAAAACAGTCATATATAATAACAGTGCTTTAAAATGATTGTTTATTAAATTAAAGCAACAACAATCTGTACTCTCAGCACGCTGCCATCTTATATTAACTGAGCAGAGAGTGAGGTGGTTGGGGCTCCAAGCCTATATTTGCCTTGACTTCTGGGGTGATCTGATTGTATCACATGTATAAATATTAAATACTTATAAACTATTGCTTTTCACTGGTAAAAATATGTATTGGGGGCCTACTTTTTTCTTTTCAAGCAATTTGTTTTGTTTTCTTGATTTTATGTGAATAATTTCCGGCCCTTTCTCTCTCTAACCCTCCTGCATGCTGCATGTTTTCTCCGTCTTTCAGAAAAACTGTTTCCTAGATTTCCTACTTTCTAAGTAATCAGCCAAAGGGATCTACCGAACGCAAAATAAATAACAAAAGCTTCGTGCTGCGCTTCAGCAGCAATGAGTTGAAATCACCGGCGCACAGATTATGAACTCAGCTGAAAAGTGCATGAAGTACCAGAGAATATGGGCGGATATAAACGATCGCAAACGAATTACTTTGTTTTGGTGGAGCGATTTTGTGAATATAACAGCGGCCGCGCGCAGGACGCAGCTGGAGTATTTGAGCCGTTACCGCTGCGTCCTCTCTGCTGATAGAATGCTCGCAAAGCTGAGTCCATAAATGACGTCATATATGTGGATACTGGATCTTTTTTCAGGCTTCCAGCAATTTGAATTTTCAGGAAACCCACATCTTGATTCTGGGTTTAAAAATGCGTTGTAATTACCGCGTTACTGACAATTGTACCGAGTAAATATTACCATTTTCTTTCCCTGTAATGCCTTACATTACCACATTACAGCAAAAAGCCATGCATTACAGTAGTTAATTACTTTTGTACCGCGTTACTCCCAACACTGCACATTACCCAAGATGTATTTATACTGTGTGAACACAAATATGGATTTTGTAAACTAAACGTTGCTCATGATGCTCAGTTAGCTCATTACACGTCCAGTGGAAGGTGATGTTGTATCTGACTGAGCTAGGATTGTAGTTTAAACAGTCAGACATAATAACAGTTTTTTAGGTGTAGCACACAAAGAGCATTTGACTGCAATGTTCTTCATGTGACAGTGTGAGCGTCCTGTCACAGTGTCCCGGTTGATCATGCGCCCTGGCTACTTGGCCAAGGGGATGTCCCTTTGGCTGACTGGATAGCGCACATAACTCTCACCTGGGAGTCTGGGGATCAAATCCCGCCCAGGTCCTCGTTTCTCCACCTTGCCTCATTCATATCCTTACTTTTCACAAACCTAAATCAATGGGCGTATGTCCATCTGGAGAATGTTCTATCCAACGTTAGATCAGCTGCATCTCTGCTCTAGTGAAACATTTTGAGTGGAGGTTTCTCTTCTGATCTTGTGTAGCCTAGAGTCTGAACAGACTGTAGCAGGAGACAAAAGCACTTCCTCTGCAGGTCTTTGTGATCACCTCCATCAGGACTGGATTACGATGGAATACCAGCTTTACATAGTATGTCTGTGTGCCTTACAGCAGTGGTTCCCAACCTTTTTTAACTCGTGGACCCCTGAGCCGTTTTCTCGTACCACGAGTACCCCCTTAGTCAAATGTGTTTGATGAATCCCCAAAAATGGAATGGACAACTGATTATTAAATGCAAATAATGGCATTAAATATCCTTAACGCTGATCCACATCTAAGTTCTCAGGTGAATTTTTTTAACTTCAACAATCCTCATGCAGGGTCCAGAAAAAATAGACTCCGTGTGAAAACTTTCTGGAGCGCTGCATTTGCATCTGCACCACAGCTGATGTAAATGCTCTGATTGGACTCAACGATTTCTGATCCATGTGAAACTGGATCGTATCCATTCTGCATTTGGTGTGACTGAGGCTTCAGGCCCTCTCTCAGTAGCAGCTGCAGCCCTGCTCTGGTTTTTCCTTTAAAGTAGGCACGTTTCCATTAGCCAAACTCCAGGGTAGTTCCTGGGATGGGGAACATGACTAGGAGATAGGATGTCCCAGTCCTCTCAGCTGTGTTGTGAGCTGGGAGGTGAGCACTCTACACACACACCATTACGTCACCTGTTTTTGGGAGCTTCTCTGATTTCAGGAGAGAGAGCAGCAGCTGTGATCAATCGGCTGATCAGTGGGTGGCCTTCATAAGGAGGACGGAGGACACTGCTAAGCTGCCGGATGATTACGCCTTACTGGTAGAAATCCCAGCCACAGTTATTCCTAGAATTTTGAAAACTTGGTTTTATGACTTTGTGCCCAGACTGTGTTCTTGTTTTTTCTCATGCTTCAGGCTCAGTCATCCCTTTCCATACACCGCATCCCTGCGTGATTTTTTGGATATACGACATACAGCCTCTGGATTTACCTCTCAACTCCCCGTCCTCCCAACGGCTCGACTTGCTCCTGGCAAACCTGCTCTCTCTCTCATCTCCTCCAGTTGGAACCCCGTCATTCTGCCTCAACCCTGGATATCCGCTCGCTCTCCCAGCTCACCCCTCCCCGGACAAACTTCACCACGCTTCGCCTGTAAGTCCTCCTACCAAGCGCATCCTCTACCATATTACATTATCAAGGACTCACATCTGCTCCTCTTCCCCTCGGACGCTGCTCTCGTCACTCATTCGCTGATTTCCAGTTACTCCTGGAGTCATCATTTCTTAATAAATCATTATTATTCTTACAACCTGCTACCGGGTATTGATTCTGCATGTCCTGGGTTAAATATTTATCACAGAACATGACAAGCTGTTGTGTCTCCATTCAAATTCAGCCCTTTCAGAGCTAAGTGACGTCACTGATCAGCCCCAAAAATCATTATAATAAATTAATAATAAAAGCATTTATTTTATAGAAGTATATCATAATTTAATTCAGAGGACATTCAAGTCTTTTAGTTTTTAAATGTGATCGGTGCTTTTTCAAAAATTTTTTTACTTCCATTCTGCTTCACCAGCTCTTCTATTTTTACTGCTGATGTAATTTCCTGCTGCGTTATAATCAATCAGCATGAGTTAACCGGAGGTTCTGCTCAGCTACTCCGCCGGGCCGTTCTGAGTACCTACTCCAGAGCAGGTACTCAGAAGTTTCCTGAAATCGGCCTGAAAAACGGCCATTTGGTCATGCAGGAGATGCGTCTCCTGCACATCCCCGTGAGGCAATGCGAGAAACATAAATATTGTCGTCACAAAAGATCCTCCTATTCTATGAAAGTGCCCAAAGCTGACCAAGGCAGCCCAGAAAGTGAATTTTTAGTAAATAAATGCAACAAGAAACTGTATGCTTACTCCACTGTTACAGCCCTTCTGTAGGCTCAGCTGGGTAGGTAAGGAGGAGGTAACATAAAAAAAGGATGAGTGTTAGCATCCCCTCTGGCATCTAGGAGCGGTGAGGGGAGCGCACAGTAAAAAAAATAAAGAAAAATAAAAAGGGAATGAATCCTAGGGATGGTGTCAGTTGGGATGTTAAGTGATCAAATGGAAGGAGGGGAGAGAATGGTAGGTTTAAAAAGGTTTATTAACAAAAGGTTGGATAAAAGATATTCAATAGTTAAACTAAAATAGACTCCCTCTTCTAAAATAGGGAGCAGAGAAACAACTACTAACTTAAAGCGCTCCGAGAGAGGAAACCAAATGGGTAACAACCTCCTAATTTAAAGCGGACTTTTGAATTGTTATGCTGGCGATTGCCCCCTCAGGCCAGAAGCGTAACGGCAGCTTCAATAGTAGGCTTGTGCACGAGGCGCGCATGCTGTACGTGCACACTCCTTAGACAGTTTCGTGTGTGTGTGTGTGTGTGTGTGTGTGTGTGTGTGTGTGTGTGTGTGTGTGTGTGTGTGTGTGTGTGTGTGTGTGTCCCAGAGGACAGGAGAACGAGCAGCTAATTAAATAATTTGGTTCTGTACCTTTCTCTTCGGCACAGCCGACAAAGGTTTATGATGGCCAGTAGCGGTTTTAGGCAGGGGCAGACAGGGCAGTTGCCCAGAGCGGCATTTTTTCATGGCACAAAAGGGGCGCACAAGCGCTGAGTAAAAGAATAAAAAAAGAAATCTGCGCCGCACCGAGGTTTACATTCAATCTGTCATGTCACAGTGTCTGGATTGGAAACAGCAAGTTGGCGCCCCCTGCAGCTGCAGGCGCTCCTGCTGACTGAGAGGGTTCATGTGCACCGTGTGTATATGAAGAAGAGGAAGGGGAGGGGTGCGGCGGGGGAATTCACCTCTGGGTCTTTCCCAAATGAAATGAGTGGGTAGGGGCTGAATCAGCTGTATTAACATGGCTAAAGTCAATCACATCTTGATGTTCTTCCATTTAACGCACATTTCATTCATAATATCATAAACACAGGCCTATCATTCTTTCAGGTTTTTCTGAATTGTGTGAAATGGCCGAATAAAAAAAGGAAAAACAAAACGATTTTGTGGTCACCCCCCCATCAAGGTCAAATAGTTTAGTCCTGACTAAAGGAAACTTACTGAGTCAGGAGCCAAACAGAAGAGATGAACATAAAAAGGCTAAAACCACCAGGTGCCCCATTCAGGAAAAAAAAAGAAAAAAAGAAGAGAAAGATAAAGGTATGTACGCTCTCATGATGCATGTTTTCAATTTTTTGAACCAGTTAACTGGGATTTTAACGGTTAAATTCGGTCAACTAATTGCTAACAGAGCTAATAGGGCTGAAATATTGAAACGAATATTCAAATGGTTCGAAAAAAGTCCTTGAATCGTTTTTTACTGATTCAAACTAGGATTTGTTAAATGCTCACTGCAGCCTGTGGCCTGCCTGAACAACAACAAACACATGTTGATCATGTTCACATAATAATAAATAAAACAATTCTACACGCAGAAGAAAACACCCCAGTCACCACTAACTATCCTGTTTATTTATTGCAGATGGCTGCACTGATTATTTTTTACCTGGTTTGTTCTGTAAAAGTTGGCATTTTTGGTAGTCTACAATTTTTTATGTCAGTTTAAATTACAATTTCAGAGGCAATTCTAAAATATTATGGATCATGAGATCTATTGGAGATCTACCCCAACTTTTGGACTGCTCTGCCAGTCACTGTGGCTCAAGCTGAGAGGAGCTTTTCAAAACTTGA